GGGGGATAATCAAGAGATTTAAAATAAGGGTACCGGCACCTCATGTGCAGTGGAAGGTACTTCGTCATCGCACGCAGATGTGGGTTTGATTCCCGTTTGGGGAGAATTTTTATCAAGTATCTCCGTCTTTCTGCTGGGATGTTGTATCTCTCTCAGGCCGAGTTGACCATGTCAGACAGGGATGAAGCAACAGCCCCCTAAATGATCCAATGTTCTACAGTGACCAGAAAAAAAGTTCGTCCAAAAGAACGCCAATGAAAGTGTAACGACTAAAGGTACAAACACCAAAGTGTGTAGAAATGTGGGACATCCATTTGGATTCATTATGTGTTAATAACAATAGAATATGACTGCCACGAACAAAATTACAAGATATCTTCCAGATACCCCTAATTTCGAGTTAAGCACAAGCTGACACGCTGAGTGGAATTGGGAATCACCCGTTGACACTGCTCGGGGGAAATCTCTCTTGTACTCACCATTACTGTTTCTTTCATGTCTTGGATACTTTTGTAGGTTTTCCTACACATCTTGTCCTTCAATATTAAATAGCCCCAATGATGAAAGCCCAGTGGACTTCCGTCCAGACTGTTTCGGGTCCAGTGGTGCTCAGTCGGACTGACTGTCCTGTAATCAAAATGGTTGTTGACTCAGCAGAGAACAGTTCTGGCGTCATGTGGAGAAGCCTTATCTTGCTGGAAGTGCCGGTTCTCCCTTCATCATTAACAAATTAAAGTCTAAAACCTCTCCAAAATTTTAATGAGATGAAGACGTGTTGGTCAGAGTCTACCGAAGGACGAAGCACTTTAACCTTTTCAAGAGTGCGTTGTTCTTACAGGCTACCTGCCGTGTGCTACTCAGCGCTTAGAATTCAAATTTTATCTTTAATGGACCAAAACATTAAAATTTCATAATTTGCAGCCCATTACAAAATGAACCTTTCCCTTAGAAAATTAGGTTTGTTACAGATATCTACCTGATATTCCAGAGCATATCATGCACACGGAGATTTAGGGAGAATTTGTTTGCTGATACATCTGAGCTAAACAAAAGCACGTTGCACAGGGGCTAACTGCTTTATCATCTTTCAGTTGTGCAACAGCAACATCACAAAAATAGTTTTTTAGCCCAACGCAGATGTATGTTCTGGATTTTAGTCAATTTTGATATCAATTGAGTCATAAACAAGAAAGTTATTAACATATCTTAGAACGAATTTTTTTCTGGTCAGCTGGTGCATATGAAGCAAGGATACCAGTTACATCCAACTAGTAGTTTTACTTTTACTTACCCATTTTGCCGTACATTGGAAAAAGGACAGCACGACAAAAATAGTTACTTTTTGAAATTAGCGTGCAGAGCATATCAAAACTTTCACACATCCACCCTTCGAAATGTGTCATTTTAACTGAACAACAAATTATGTCAGAGAGACAGCAGAGGCAAAGACTAGACAACGCATAGGGTGCAGATACCACAACAGATGCCTTAAACGGGAAAATTCATATTAATTCTCTTTCGAAAGGTTTATGGATTTCCTGCCCGAAAATCGGGTCATTCTCGCTCAGATTTGACTGTTTCTTTGGTATTTTAAATGTGAGTTTATCCTTTGCGTGCTTATGTGTCCAACTTATTTAGATAATTTGAGAGGCAGGCCGTTTCGACCCTGCTGTATGGAAATGGTATAGGTTTAACGCTCTTATCAACACTATTAAGTTATTTAAGAGGCCCCAACCACCGAGTTTAGCGTTCATCTCCGAAAGGACGGAGCCAAGTGGGGAATTCATATAAAGTGCCTTTCCCAAGGACACAACGCTGGCCTAAGCTGAGGCTCGAACCACCGAACCCGCAATCTCACGATTTTATGAGAGTTCGGTAGTTTAACCACCAGGCCACCTGCGTCACTCCTGCTATCAAGATCAACCCATGAAGGACATAGACACTCAATCTAAAGAAAACGTGTGCACACCTCCCCACCCAAATAAATAAATAGGCCTAAAAAAAAGAAAGAAAGAAAAAAAAGAAACAAACAAACAAACAAACAAACAAACAGACAAACAAAAACAGAAAGAAATTAGAAAAGCAAATAAGAGAAGAGTGGAAAAGATATTACAGTACTTAGCTGACACCTGAGTGACTACTGACGTATAACTTGTGGAAATCTACAAGAGGCAATAAGTCAGTGGTTTTTATTTTTTGTAATGCTTTTATTAATCAACAACAATAACAATATGGATGGTTCCATCGACAGGACCAGTAGCACAATTACACCGGCTTCAGAAAATACAGAAACTTTTTCTTTCTAGCAGGAAAACAAAAGAACAGAGCAAAAAAGAATCTGTCCAATCTCATGAAGATATGATCGAGGAATTCCTTACAATACTTCCAAAAGATGAAATTTCCTTAAAAAGAAGCCTCTTCTGTATTTCAGTCTTTTCTTTAGTCCCTGCTTTTCTAACATCTCAATATGAAGTCTCGAAATCAGTTTGGAGGGGAAGTCCTGACGAAGACTGCATGTATTTAAAAAGCATAATTCATATAGAGCATATCTATTACATTAATGTATAAGATGTATGTTCGTTTTCAGATACAAAACTATTCTAAATGAGTTTTTTATTTTCGTTTTCCCCCCAGTGTATAAACCCTACAATATTGCAGGATTTTGAAAGTGCGTACAATAAAGACATACACTAAATATTTTTTAAAATCTAAATAATGCACAGAATAATCTACGTAGTTTTTTCCTGCAATATGTCTTTTGGCTGACGTGAACTGACCTTTCCGAATCACAATGACCTGAAGGAATTAAAAACAAGGGCCAATACTTATAAGTTCTTTCAAAATCGATACAACCAGATACAAAATCTAGGTATCTGGTTGTATTGATTTTGAAAGAACTTATAAGTATTGGCTCTTGTTTTTAATTCCTTCAGGTACCTATACATGAATCTATGGTTAAGTGTTTTCCAAAATGACTGTCTCAAAAAAGGTTGTGATGAACTACATCTTTACTATCATAGTGGTTTTAAAGAACTGACAACATGCAGACAGAAACAAGTTTTTTTTTTAACCCAGAATTTAAGTAATATAAAAACATGAACAAGATTTACAAAACAAAATTAAAGTGAAGTAATAAATAATCTCAGTCGTCGTGCCCTCGTGTACTCAGGATTTGCCAGAATGTGGAAGACTTAAGCTTCGGAGTTGCCCTCACTATAGAGAGGGTTATCCAAGGACATGGTTGCTCCTGTCATCTTCAGGTTCTGTGGATTTGAGTCGAGTTTGAGTAAAGAAAAAAGCACATCGGCAAAACGGAGCTTATATGGTCGCCTTTAAGCACAAGGGGGCTATCCCGAAAAAAGCTGTTTTGAGAAAATCGAAGGGAAAGTTTTTGGACCCTTGTTCAGTTTCTTTAAAAGACAAGGAGGGTTTTCTCTATAACCAAACAAAAATACACACCAATGCAACCAAACTTCTTCTATACGTAGGGCAATGCCCACTTTTGGCGCAAGTCAAGATTTCTGGAAACCCCCGAAATCTGGGTTAGCCCGCTTGTCCTTAGAAGCAACAAGTTTTAGAGCAAGGAAAGAACAAGACGAACAGAATTGATTAATTCATTAATATATACATGAAATATGGAGAACTACAATGGCTAAAACTAGTTTCAATCAAATGAGCCCAATCCTGAAAAATAGAAACATCTCAATGAACACCAAAATGAAAGTCCTGAGATGCTATGTTTTGTCAACCCTTCTATATGGCTGTGAATGCTGGACAATCACTAAAGACCGTGAAAACAAAATAGAAGCAACAGAAATATGGTTTCTTAGGAGACTGCTAAGAGTATTGGGGAAAGAAAAGAAATCAAATGAGGTAGTGCTTGATAAAGCCCACGTGGGACGTTCAATGCTAAAAACAATCAGGAAACGACAAATGCAGTTTTTGGGACACCTGAATAGACATAAGGGTCTTGAACATCTAGCTCTCACTGGCAAAACTGAGGGCAAGCGAGGCAGGAGTAGGCCCAGAACAACATACTTAGAGAACCTGAACAAATGAGTAACAGGGAAAGATCAGGGAAACGTAGCTTTTTTTAGAGCATCCGAGCAAGGAATGAATGGAAAACCATGATCGCCGATGTCTGTCGCAGATCTGGCACTGGAAGATGATGATGAATGTATTTATACATGCACTGGCCATTCTTGTCTAGGTGCTTTTTTAGCCCCTTTCTTATGTGTTTGTCCATTTAACATTTGTTAGAAAAGATAGACGGGCGCAAACAATAGAGAAAAAAGCGGAAAAAGAACCTACAAGTAGCACCTTCCAACCACCCACAGGCTCAATGACGAACGAGGGGGGGGGGGAGGCCAGGACATGTCAGACTCAATTGGTCATACGCTATTGTAAATGTCTGTGATCCCCGTTGACACAATTTAGAGTGTAACGATAGGGAAAATAAACCAGAGGCAACAGAAACGTGGATAGAGAGAAGAATAATGTAGAGAATTGCATGGTAGGAAACAGAAGTTCGATGAGGTAATGCTGAATGAAGCCAGCTTGGGATTTTTAAAATATATAAATACAAATACAATATGGAAGAGACATATGCAACCAGGCTGAATGAGCTACAACATCCCAACGTGACAGACAGAGATACTCGTACTCATCAATATAACATCCCTGTGCAAGAACCGAGCCAACATCTTCTGCCGGCAGTGGCAAGGAGCATAATAAACATTTCCCCACTAGTGCCGGTCAATTTAAAAACAAACTACAACTAGAAGAAAAAAAACCGATGTTGTTTGATAAGGTAGCAAGACTTACCCCGGATTCCTTGAAACCCTCTTGCTTCTCAAAGGTTGGCGGTTCTATCTCTTGCATGGCAAACTGTCCAGAGGAAGACAGAGAGAGAGAGAAAGAAGAGCATTGTTAGACGTCTATCGACTGTTGCTGGAGGGTCATACTTTCTGAGCAGAGGAAAATAGGACTAACGCTAACATTATATTTTTTTAAACAACAACCGCCAAATAACAGAAGAATGTCTTCTTAATAATTATAAACCTAAGCACCATCCCACATCATCACTTATCACCACCATCATCGTCATTTCTAAAGTCATCTTTGTTCACAGATCCTTCACAAACATCTATAATTATCTTACACATCTATATGTAACATTTATATGTCATAACAATTTTTTACGTTATACATTATTGGGCACTCTCATACGCACTTTTTTCAACTAATCAGATGGCGTCAATATCATAGAAATGGGCAAAGCACAAATAAACACACACAAAAAGGGTCACAGTTTCTGGCAGAAGACTCGAGGAGGAGGAGGAGGAGGAGGAGGAGGAGGAGGAGGAGGAGGAGGAGGAGGAGGAGGAGGAGGAGGAGGAGGAGGAGGAGGAGGAGGAGGAGGAGGAGGAGGAGGAGGAGGAGGAAGAAAAAGAAGAAGGAGAAGTAGAAGAAGAAGAAGAAGAAGAAGAAGAAGAAGAAGAAGAAGAAGAAGAAGAAGAAGAAGAAGAAGAAGAAGAAGAAGAAGAAGAAGAAGGCAGACAGACAGACAGTCAGACAGACAGGCATACAGGCAGATAGACAAACAGACGGACAGGCAGAGACAGACAGACAGACAGACAGGCAGGCAAGCAGTCAGTTGAACAAGCGGACAAACATGCTGACAGGAAGACAGACAGATAGACAGACAGACAGACAGACAGACAGACAGACAGACAGACAGACAGACAGACAGACAGACAGACAGACAGACAGACAGACAGACAGGCAGGCATGATAAGTAATGCTACTCAGTGCTTACCCCAGTCCCACTGCCGTAGTCGTAGACAGGATTGGTCAGTCCGCCTCCCTCTTCAGTGTCATCCTGACCAAATCTTCGGAACCTGAACAGAGAGCTGGAGGGAGAGAAACATAAAGAGGTATGTCACATCACTGTCATAACAGACAGACAGTTAGACAGACAGACAGACAGACAGACAGACAGACAGACAGACAGACAGTTAGGCAGGCAGGCAGGCAGGCAGGCAGGCAGGCAGGCAGGTAGGCAGGCAGACAGATAGATCGACTGAAACCCTTCAGCAGTGTAAGAAACACAAGGCCCTGAGACAGGAAACAAGGCCAACCCCATTGATACTATAAGAGAAGCTCTACGGCCGACAGAAGAACTGAGCAGGATGGCCCAGAATGAAAGATACCGGACTTCAAGGGCAATTCTATCGGAAAGAAGAAATAGGAAGAAGACGGACAGGCAGACAGACTAGGAAGATGTAAATTGTTATATTAAATTCAAACAAACATAATATTACTTCAATTCAAAGTAGCCAGAATATGAGACAACAATTTAAAAAATAACAGTCTTAATTCCCCACTTCTGCGTCTGTGTTGTAATGGTTAGGCTCTTTGCTATCACATGCAAAAGACACGAGTTCGATTCTCTGGTGGGTGATATTTTTAAGGACTAACTCCACCTGTCAGTTTGGATGGCCCTATTAGAGTAAAACATTTGCAATTATAAAATCATATTGCTTTGATTCAAACATCTATCGTCCCAGTCTCTCGCCAATCTTTTCTTTGTATGTTACACTCTCTGGTAACACCTCTAATCTTCGACACTTATATGACTTAACTAGTTTATGTTTCAAGTGCAATAAAAAATCTTATTAAAACCAATGCAAGTTGTGACATAAAAGAATGGTACTCACAATCGGTTGGTCTTTCGCAGGTAGATGAAGACAGCCACGCATATGCCAGCAACAGCCACAAGGCTCACCACTACAGCAACTGGTGTCTTCCAGGAATCTACACCGCAAATACAGACAAATGGGGTTAGATATTGGGTAAGAGAAAGAGAGAGCAAGAGAGAGAGAGAGAGAGAGAGAGAGAGAGAGAGAGAGAGAGAGAGAGAGAGAGAGAGAGGGAGAGAGAAAGACAGTGTGAGAGAGTGGGTGGGAGAGAGATAGAGAGAAAAAGACGGAAAAGCACACAGACATGCGATAATTAGGCAGTACCACCGCAAAGCTCACCAATACATTCATTGATGGCGTCTTCCAGAGATCTACCCAACAAATACAGAGAGATGTCTAAGTAAGTGAGTGAGTGTGAGCGTGAGCTTGTGTGTGTGGGTGTGTGTGTGTGTGTGTGTGTGTGTGTGTGTGTGAGAGAGAGAGAGAGAGAGAGAGAGAGGGGGGGGGAGGGGGAGAGATGGGGGGGGAGACTGAGAAGGAGAGAGACTGAGAGAAGCAGAGAGAGAAAGACAGACTGAGAGAGACAGACAGACAGACAGACAGAGAGAGAGAGAGACAGACAGACAGACAGACAGACAGACAGACAGACAGACAGACAGACAGACAGACAGACAGACAGACAGACAGACTGAAAGACTTGCAGACAGACAGACTGAAAGACTTGCAGACAGACACTCAGACAGAAGAAACTAAGCACTAGGTCTAGGTAACATTGAAATTACAAAATTAAGCGCCTTACTCAAAAAATATTTTCAGAGCTGGTATTTGTTCCTTTGGATAAAGAGAAGCACGTCAGCACAACAACAGCCTTTTAGTCTAGAGGAAAACTAGAAAGACTCAAACAGACAGAAACAACAGAGGGAAAGCAAAGAATCAGGACGTACAAGTGGCGCCCTCCAACCACCCACTGGCGCCCTCCAACCACCCACTGGCGCCCTCCAACCACCCACTGGCGCCCTCCAACCACCCACTGGCGCCCTCCAACCACCCACTGGCGCCCTCCAACTACCTACTGGCGCCCTCCAACCACCCACTGGCGCCCTCCAACCACCCACTGGCGCCCTCCAACTACCCCAAGGTCCAAATTACCTTTATATGGGTGCTCTGGTGTGGTTTGCTCCTTCTTTCATATCAATCATCTATCGTCCTTATCTCTCCTTTTTGTGTTTGTTACTCTCTTGTAGCACCTCTAATCTTCCCCACTTATATGACCTTATTGTGTCGCAAGTGTCGTAAAACCCTTACTAAAACTAAAAACTAAACCGTTGTATAATTGAAAACTGCCAAGCTAAATTACTCACCATTGGCAGCGCTGGTGACTTTCTGTGTTGGTTTGGCATTGACAACAGTCGTGTGGGAGGGATTTGCAGGGGCTGGAGTCGGTCTTGTGGTGCTGGTGGTTGGTGGCTCGGTCTCTGTTGGAGAATACTGGCACCTCGGGCCGTGGTAGAAATTCACACACCTGTGCAGGGAGATGACAGAACGATAACCGTTAGAGTTTACTTACAAGGGAAAGGTAGGTGTTCAATGTATCATAATGTAAAAGGTTTTAGAGGGAAACCGGTTCTCAACTTGTTAAAACGATAGGCAAAAACATATTATCTCTTAGAACGTTTCAAAATTGATTTTGAGTTGATATTGACGGAGTCTCAATCAATCGTCGTAATATTTTATGCACACACACACACACATACACACACACACACACACACACACACACACACACACACACACACACACATACATGCAAACATACATACATGCAAACACACACTTACACACACATACACATACACACACAAACACATACACACACATACACAAACACTTACACACACACACACATACCAGTGGCAGGGCGCCATTGGTGCAATTGGTGCAAGCGTTCCACCTAACCCTGGCCTTCACCTCCACCCCCCCCCCTTTTCTAATTGTTCTAAACCAGTAGGTGCACTAGATCTACATTAGGCCTACTGCATCCGTGCGATCCTTCACCCGCTGGCTGCGCCAGTGAAGAGACAGACAGCGAGGATGGTTTATGCTCGTCGTACCGCTTGCGGTAGTGTCTGCTGGGAGCAAGCACAATCTTTGCACCAAATTTATTTTTGTCACTGTAGAGAAATCTAGGCATCGTTCTTCCCGCACGAGACGAAAGGTGCATGAAACTGCTCTTCGCAGCACCAATTTGGTGCAAGCTAAAAATTTGATCCAAGTTTCCGCGAGCCTATCTACTACACTAGTAGTAGAGTCTACGGTAACTCAATGAAGAATGGGTATCGAAACTCTTGTCTCCGACTATTGTGTAGCAAGTCCTGGTGCTGCACGAAGTAATTAGAAATCTTTAAATCTTCACAGATTGTGAGCATAGTGAGTTGTAAGTATTGTTTCACTTTATAGCAACGTTTATGCGGTTTCATTTAGAAACAGTAGTAAATATCGATAAATGTAGATTATGGGACATCCTTCAGATTCTAATTGACACATAGTAGCTACTAAGCCTATTGCCCATTTGCTCACGTTCCAATTATGCACTACCTTGTCTGCAAACCACGCAACGCCCGTGACACATACATATACATGCAAATACATGCAAACCCGCACACACACACACACACACACACACACACACACACACACACACACACACACACACACACACATACACACACACACACACACACACACACCCATACACACTTACACATGCATGCAAACACACACACACACACACACACACACACACACACACACACATACACACACACACACACATACACAAACACTTACTGGCAGCCGCGCAGACCCGTAGCATCTGTGTAACACGTTCCACTGTGTTGACAATAACCAGCACAACCTGAAACACAATACAGGAGACACTATGAGAGAAGGTGGGGGGAGGGGAAGAAAGACGGAATATGGGACGAGGAGGGAAGCGTGGGGGGAGAGGGGGTAGAGAAGGAGGGGGGAATAGAGTAGGGGAAAAAGAGGGTGGGGAGCGAGAGAGAGAGACAGACAGACAGAGAGACAGACACAGAGAGACAGAGAGAAGGAGGAGAAAGAAAGACAAGAGGAGACACAGGGAAGAGCAAGGAGTGGAGAGTGGGAGAAGAGAGATAGAAAGAGACTGAGACCGAGACCGAGAGAGAAGGAGAGCGTGGGAAAGGGAAGGGAGAGAAGGGAGAGACAATTAGCAAGTAGACGATGAGAGAGGGAGATTTAGTTTTAGTAGAGGTTTTACGGCCCTCTCAAATACATAATGTCATATGAGCGCCTGAAGATTAGAGGTGTTACAAGAGAGTAACAAACATAACAAAGAAGAAGGGGAACTAAGGATAATAGATGTATGATAGGAAAGAAGGAGCAAACCACACAAGGGCACCCGCCAACCACCCACAGAGAGAGAGAGAGCTTCAGAGAGAGGTGAAGAGACTTAGAGAGAAAACGTGTGAAAGACACAGACAGACAGACAAACAGAGAAAATGAGAGAGTCACATTAATTTATTTTAAAGATATTAAGTTTTCCTGGGGAGAAGGAAAGGGGGAGGGGGGCGGACGACCAGCATCGAAAAATTCAGGTTCCTGCCGGTCAACGAAAATACAGACGTGTTCTCCTCATGTTATTACATGGGTGCAACGTTACAATTTAAAGAGAAAGCAGTCAGGGGCAATCGGGTGATAAGGGTTCGAATCCTTTGTTTTCATGGCTCCTCACGCACTTCGGCCCAGCCTTATTGGGAACGTGAAGTACGTCAAAGCTGAATAATCTTGAAGCATTAAAAGATTGTGTTGAACTCCAACCACATCAAATCTTAGAAAAAAGGCAATCCATAATAAATATATTGAAATGCTGTGCTGAAAAAGTCGAAATTATTAGCCTATAAAACGGGAAATAGGATGCCTAAAAGGTAACCAATGAACGTCCGTTGAAATAGGATGACAAATTATGAATAGCCTATGAAATAGGATGTCAGATTGGTAATCGATGAAATAGGATGATTGTCTAATAGGTAGCTAATAGAATATACTGTCAAGTAGGTAGCTTATGAAATAGTATGGCAAATGGGCAGTCAGTGAAATACAATGCCCCATCAACAGAAGACGTGCAATTATGCTGATGGCTGTTAGTGGCCAAGTTACTTGACTCGATCGAAATCGTGAGACTGCGGAATCAGTGGTTCGATGCTCAGCTCGTTTTAACGTTGAGTCCAGTGGCTCGATGCTTTCGAAGATGGACGTAAAAACTGGGGATGTCCCACCTCTTAAATAACCTTACATTATACAGTGTTGGAACCCACAGGGAGCACGAGGCAGGAGTAGGCAACGGGAAACAAGGAGGAGATGTGTGGAAAGGGACATGAGAGAGATGAAGCTCATTTGGAACGAGATAGGAAGGATGGCCCAGGACAGAGATAAATTGAAGGAGCTTGTATGTTGCCTTTACCCTGCCAGGGGGGGGGGGGGCATTGATGATGATGATGATTTCTTTTGTTTTCTTAATGGGCCTGACGGACTTCGGCCCAGCCTTATTGGGAACGTGAAGTACGTCAAAGCTGAATAATCTTGAAGCATTAAAAGATTGTGTTGAACTCCAACCACATCAAATCTTAGAAAAAAGGCAATCCATAATAAATATATTGAAATGCTGTGCTGAAAAAGTCGAAATTATTAGCCTATAAAACGGGAAATAGGATGCCTAAAAGGTAACCAATGAACGTCCGTTGAAATAGGATGACAAATTATGAATAGCCTATGAAATAGGATGTCAGATTGGTAATCGATGAAATAGGATGATTGTCTAATAGGTAGCTAATAGAATATACTGTCAAGTAGGTAGCTTATGAAATAGTATGGCAAATGGGCAGTCAGTGAAATACAATGCCCCATCAACAGAAGACGTGCAATTATGCTGATGGCTGTTAGTGGCCAAGTTACTTGACTCGATCGAAATCGTGAGACTGCGGAATCAGTGGTTCGATGCTCAGCTCGTTTTAACGTTGAGTCCAGTGGCTCGATGCTTTCGAAGATGGACGTAAAAACTGGGGATGTCCCACCTCTTAAATAACCTTACATTATACAGTGTTGGAACCCACAGGGAGCACGAGGCAGGAGTAGGCAACGGGAAACAAGGAGGAGATGTGTGGAAAGGGACATGAGAGAGATGAAGCTCATTTGGAACGAGATAGGAAGGATGGCCCAGGACAGAGATAAATTGAAGGAGCTTGTATGTTGCCTTTACCCTGCCAGGGGGGGGGGGGCATTGATGATGATGATGATTTCTTTTGTTTTCTTAATGGGCCTGACGGACTCCACGAAGAAATCTTCGAGCGAGAGCGAGGCTCTCTTTCGCCTCCATTGTCAATATGCTTAGCGGCACCTCCACTCGTTGAAATAACTCCATTCGAATTGCCATTGTTCCTGGACTCGTCATTTGTGATTTACAAAGTTCTTATACCATCTTATTAAACTTCAATGATGGTCCGACCGCAGTCTCGCTAGATCAACCTGGTCCCAGCGACATGTGATAGATTTTTGTTCCCGCTTATAGGAGTACCCAGAATACACATCTTCCAGGTGCTGGTACTTAGTTCTACATGGTGGGTCTCTGATTTCCCTCTTGATCATTGGAAAGACTCCTCTGTATGTTGTTGGTCGTCTGTTTCCTTCAATCTCTCTGGCTTCATTAGCAGCTTGGTCTGCTGCCTCATTTCCTTCCATTCTGGGAAGCTCTGATGATGATGATGATGACGATGATGATGATGATGATGATGATGATGATGATGATGATGATGATGATGATGACGATGAGGATGATGATGATGATGATGCTAGGGACGTTAAACCTGTACAATTTTGCACGGAGATACTTTTTTTTTTAAACTGAGAGCAGAAAAAGAGCAGAAAAATGGCTTACTGCACTGCTTTTCATCTGATTTGTCCGAGCAGTCGAATTTGGAGTCACATCGGCTGGAGGCCGGCACACAGGAGCCGTCTTGGACACACGTGAACTGGGTGGGGCTGCACGTGACCACAGCTGTGGGAAGTGGCTTGCTCCAATATCTGTGCGGGGAGGGGGGGACAAGACAGATCACCACAGGGTGTATTTTACGGCGTGTTCAACACGCCCTATGACAAATAAGGATTTTTTAAAAATAATACAGAGAAGAAGTAGAAGATGGAGACCACATCAAAAGCACACATTAACTAAGCATGAAGAATGAGAGTGAAGCCAACTACAATCGCCTGAAGCTTTTTCTCCTCCGTGCGTTATTATTATTATCATCGTTAGTATTATTATTATCAATATTATTATTATTATTAATATTATCTTTATCATTATTATTATTATTATTATTATTATTATTATTATTATTATTATATTATTATCTTTATTATTAGTATTAGTATTATTGTCATATTATCATTATTATCATCATTGTTATTATTAATGCGAAATGAAATGCGAGACAGGCAGAGTAATGAAGAAGTACGAGCGTACGAGCAGCTATCGGCACTGAGGCCTGCCTGCGTTACATAGAAAAACAGAGGATAAAATGGTTTGGCCACCTGTTACGCATGTCACCTGACCAGCCAGTCTCGAGAGCCTACAACACCAAGCACTGAGGCTATAAAGGAAGAGAAAGGCCATGCAAAAGGTGGATCGAGGGTGTCAAGGAAACCCTAAGAAAACATAACATCACAACTGAAAGAGCTACGGAGCTGGCCTACCATAGAAAACTGCATCTCCCCTCGACGCTTAACGGCAACAGAGGATGAAATAGTAAAGTAAGTATTATTATTATTATCATCATTGTTTATATTATTATTATTATCATAATTATTATTACGTACCTGCAGTTAGGCCCAAATGTGACGTCGTCGATGGCCAGAGCGTTGCCCGGCCCACCCGGGGTGGCTTGGATCATCAGCTGGAAGGGTTGGTCAACACTGGCAGCCACAGACATCTGTTGCCAGTACGTGCCCGGTCTGGCGTCAGGTAGGGGCAGATCTTTGTCCGGCCCCAGGTTGCTGTGTGTGCGGTAGCTCACTTTCAGACGTTGGCTTGAGCTCGGAATCAAGGCGAAGAAGCGAATCTGAGAGATGGGATACATTGATAATAAGATAATACAATTTATAAATTATGCCCCACTGAATAAAGCGGCACTGCGCTTTCACTCTGCAAGTTTGGCGATGCAAAATAGAATACGGAAACAAAGACCTTATCAAAATCAAACACAGAAACAAACCGAGAGACTGACGTCAACGGAGTAACCAATACAAAAAGAATCGAAGCTGAAATATGGGATAAAATAATAAAGTAAAAGAAATTTATAAATGCCCTATTAGAATAATGCGACAGAGTAGCTCACTTGAAGAGTCGAGCTTCGAATCAAGGCAGAGACGCAAATTTAAGAGACGAGATAAAATGCTGGTAAGATAATGTTTCTTTTTTAAAAATTATTATTTTAATTTTGTCATGAGAAGAATATAGGCACTATAAAGGTAATTGTCTGCTGGTAAAAATTAAGGCAGACGAACAAACAGAAACAACAGAGGGAAAAAGAAGAAGTTGTACCCGTCAGTGACACCCTATAACCGCACAAAAATAAGATAATGAAATTCATAAATGCATAATTGGAATAAAGCCACAGTATGTTTTTAGACTGTAGTCTGATGCAAAATATGCAGAAAGAAACGTCTTACGTAAAAACAAACACACACATAGAGAGAGTGACATCAAAGAATCACAGATAATTTGGTGGGTGTATTTATGTGGGCATGCACACGTGTTTATCTTGACTTCTCTTTAGAGTGAGACAAAATGTTTGATAAATCTGTATTTGAATAAAAATGTTTTCCTGGATATATCTGGCTTTGCACAAAAATTTAAAAAATACAATCTGCTGCAACTCCTAAAAAGTCACTGAGAATTTGAATACTATCTAATTCATTTTTCGAAAGTACAAAGGTTACTTAAATTAGACCATAGATTTGTAAGTGAAATGAATAAAAGAGTTCTCTTGCTCTTAAAACCTGAAATTTTAGAAATATCTGTTTTAGCATCTAAACCCTTCATATTAACACAAAGGCTCACCTGACACACGCTGTTGTTGGTGGGTGCCAGCGGCTTGGACAGTAGCCAGGCTGTGTCCGTGGACTTCGCTGAAGGTCCGGCCTGCACGTAGAGATAATGACCAGAGCTGAGGCCGGTACTGTGGTCCACACCGGGCAGGCCACGCGCCAGACCCTGGGAGCTGTCCCACAACTTCCAGTCTAGCTGATCCTCTTGGCTCTCAGAGAAATCGCCGAAGGGAACGCGCTCAAAGTTGAAGTGGAGGTAACCCGTGCAGTTGGCGGGAGCCTCGTCCGAGTTATCCCCACAGTCGTCCTGGCCGTTGCACAGCGCCTGGAAGTCCACGCACGCCCCCGACTTGCAGCGGAACTGATTGTCGGCACACGCAAAAACGCTCTGCGGTACAGCGCAGTGCTTCAGTTCTAGGTTGTCAATGGCGATCTGGCCGGAGAAAGATGAGGCTGGCAAGCGCGTGAAGGTCAAGGAGAAGGGTGAAGATCTCCGGCCAATGCCCACGTTGGCTTTGGTCCAGAGTCCGGTAGCGTCAGAGACCTGCCAGAGCGTGGCCGCCGTCATGTCAAATTTGTTGATCTCTAGCTTGATGGTGCCGGCGACGGGGGGAGCCATGTAGTAGCTGAAGGAGAGAAGACAGCCAGTGGCGGAGGAAGAGAACGTCTGGCTGGACAACTTAGCCACCTGGCCGGCTGTGTTCCCGTTGTTGGCGTCATTGATGTAGGCGTAGCCACCCGTCCGACTGCCATCTGCGTCCTGAGTGGGGCCTTTCGAGGGGTCAACAGATGTCGGGCTGCCAGCCTTCCAGTCCAGGAGATCTGGTTTCGTCTCACTCCACGTGCAAAGGTCAGTGTCGAAGGTGCAAACCTTTTGCGTGTGGCACTTTGACTCATCACTGCCGTCCATGCAGTCTAGGTGGAAGTCACACAACTGGCTCTGGAGGACACACCCACCCAGTGTACGACACGCGACCTGACCTCCAGGACACGTCGCCATGGTGCCCGTGGGCGCTGCGGTTGTGGGAGGTGTCGTGACGGCGGGGGCCGGTGTCGGGGGAACGGGTACATTGCAGAACGGGGAGAAGCTGATATCGTCAAGGTTCACGTCCGAGTAGGCGCCAATACCTTTCACAGCCTCAAATAGCAGCTGGTACGGTTCCGCTGACATGAGAGTGACACTGGCTCTTTGCCACACTGACGTCTGGTTGCTGGTCCATGTGTTCCTCGAGATTCTACCCATACTGCTGGTGCTGGTGTAGACGTTTAGAGTGCCCGGGTCGCGTCCTACCATCCTGTACCAAAATCGAACCACACACTGCTGGTTTGCGGCTGGCATTGAGTAGAGGATGGTGGCTGTTGTGTTGGCTGTCAGAGCCGCTGAGGAGTATGAGGTCAAGTAGTGTCCGTAGCTTGAGTGTGTGGTGTGGTCATCCGGTGGTCTTCTGTACGCACTTCCTACCCCGGTGTTCATTCCCTGGACGAGTGACCAAGTGTTCCGTCCGCCCACCATGTTCTTCCAGTCTCCAATGCCTTGCTCGAACGTGGACTTGGCGTAGAGGTAGCACAGCTGGTTGTCCTCATCGGAGCCGTCACAACAGTCGGTGCTGAGGTCACACTTGTGGTCCTCCAGGATACAACGACCGTCGCCGCAGCTGAACTCTCCCGCGCCGCAGTCGGCTGGGGGCGGACTCTGGCAGTTCTCGAAGGCAAAGTCGTCCAGGAAGAGTTGAGACACGGAGGAGTATATAGACCGATAGGTGACCACAATCTGGAACTCTGAGGAGCAAGGAGGAAGCGCCACCGACAGTTTGGTCCACTGGTTGAGGGGCAGGTTCGTTCTTCTCTCAGGCCATATGATGTTATCGTAGCCTCCTGCCCGCACGCTGATGGTGAAGAGCGAGGGCTGTCGAACCGCTTGATACCACAGGGAGAACGTGCAGTGCGTGCTGGCTTTGCGGTAGAATGAGGATAACAGGATCAGAGTGTAGGAGCTATAACTTGTCCCAGGGTCGGGGGAGATTACGTGACCCTGAGGAGAGCCCGGGTTGTGGTCAGCGTTGATCATTGTCTTGGAGACTAAAGATACGATAGAAGACGCGGAGGAAGAAGAATTCGAGCCTTGGATCTTCCACCCACAAGCACCGTTCTCAAAGTTGCAGGTCGGTGGACAGCTGGCTTCATCTGTGCCGTCGGTGCAGTCTGCATAGAAGTCACACCAGGCAGAGACCGGCTTACACTGACCATCACACTGGAATTCCTTGCCCGCCTGGCACTGGCCTGGCGCTAGCGTAGGTCTCAGAGGTGGCAGCGTGCGGCGCACGTCTGGGATACAGCCGGGCGTCCAGGTGATGTCGTCAATGGCTATGTCTCCCGTGTACTTTACGCCACGCACCCCCTCAAACACCACGCGATATGTGGATGGGTCGCTCAACTCCACCACTGCTTTCTGCCACTCGTCTCCTCCAGCGGACGCTTGCGGCATACTCCACTTCAAAGTCCTAGGCCCCCCTTCCTTCATTTCGGTGTAAACTGCCAGTTCGCTCACAGCATCCTGGGCTACGTGATAGAAGAATCGCATGTAGCAGGAAGCTGGCCCGTTGGGGTAGAACACGGGACCTTTGATCCTGGCAGTCTCATTGATCTTGTGGACAGTGCTGAGAGGCATGTACAAGAAGTGACCTGTTCTGTTCCCGTAAGTATGGTCTCTGCCCGGTCTTGTGGAGCCAGCGCTTTTGATCTGCCAGTCAAACTGATCTGTGCCGTCTTGCCTGAAGCCGCAAGTCCCTTGCTCAAAGGAGCAGCCGACATAGTTGCCACAGTTCATCTCGTCCTCCCCGTGAGCACAGTCTTGAGCATAATCGCACACCACGTCGAGATGTTTACATTCACGTGACGTGGTGCACGTGAACTCCTGATCTGAGCACGTGTTGTGAGCGAGCCCACGAGAACACGATTCGCTGAAGGACACGTCGTCAATAGCCACAAACGTACCACTGGGCGGTCTCTTGTAGTCAAATCGGAACACCACCCGGAAACCTGCAGCACGAGAGCCGATGCCAACTCTTGCCTGGCGCCACTGGGAGGAGGTTCGAGCCCTCCACAGGCGCACGCCCGAAGCCGTTGACTTGTAGTTGAGCACACCGTCCGGGTACAGGTACATCGAGAGTACATCTGGGCGGTCGCTGACGTAATAGAAGCGGATCTCACAGGTGGCCTCTGTGGCCCCGTACACCGGAGACTCGAAGATAGAGATACTGGTGTAGCCCTCCCCGCTGGACACAGGCAGCATGAAGTGACCCACGCCTTTGATGCCCAGAGTGTGGTCGAGGGTAGGTCTGTGGACCAGCTCGTCCTGTGTAGTGTTTACTCGGGTCCAGGAATACCTGTAGGAAACCAACACATGGTCAAATTAAATTGTAGCAACCCCCCTCCCCGCCGATCAAATTCAAGTCTGTTGCTGGAACCAGCTTTTTTGTCACGACTCTGGTCTACTGCAACATTATATTTTCATATTTAAAGAACATAGTATGAAGGTTACCATAGTTAAGCCCTCCCCCCCCCCCCCCCCCCCCAGGCCTCTGTTTAAAGCGTTGTTTCTCGGTTGAAAAAAAGATTGAAAAAAATGAATGCTTCAACTGAACTAATATTATTTGTAAAGTTGTGTTACTATTTAAATGAGATATTCAATGAAGAAAACGTTCTTCATCAGGTGTGGCTCTGAAGCAACATACGAGTATGAGTAAGAGATATAGCTCATTGATTTATTATAAATGTTTTACACCCCCACTTGACGAAACTTAGATCATCTAGAGGGCTGGCTGATTCGATGTAGCCTGGCCAGACCAACCAGGGCAGTATTGGGCACAGCATCTCAGCAGATAGATGAAGAGGTTAGAAAATAGAACTTCCACACACAGGAATCGAATTCCCTGTTCTCTTTGTGCTACGGAAAAGAGCTTGTAACCGATACACCGTAGGCCCCAGTGGACATGACTTATATGTGTTAGATTTTGGCAAACAGTAGATTATAATATGCCATGAAGCATGAATTGTAATTGTAGAAGTTTTACACCTCTATCGACACAACTTAGATCATTTAGGTGGCGGGCTTCGACCCTGCCGGCTTGAGAGGGATACAACGTCTCAGTAGAAAGACGGATATATTCTTTTTTTTATTTCTCACACGGAATTGAACTCGGGTCTTCTGCACGAGTCGTTGAGATGTCCAACGGCTACACCACAGACGCTGGTCAAACAATGGATGATGCCATGGAGCTGTACAGATATGAATGGAAATTGGAAGGGGGATGGATTTACCTGTTGACACTGTGGTCTGTCCAGCCACACGTTGAGGACTCAAAGTCACAAACTCCACAATTCTGCTCATCGGAACCGTCGAAGCACTGGGTGAGGAAATCGCAGACCTGGGACTTGGGGATACAGTTCTGGTGGTCAGCGCATTGCCACAGGTTGGGGTCTCCACACGGGTTGGGCGTGGTTGTCGCAGGGCTGGGCGTGGCAGTGGGGAAACTGTCAGGGCTGACAGCGCATCCCGGGGCAAAGATGATGTCATCAATACCGATGTCTCCAAAAGAACCGTAGCCGCGGACACCTTCGATGACCACCTGGAACGGTTGTGAGCTGAAGATAGGGACAGTTTGAGGGAACCAGTAGTTGCCATTGTCCGAGTTGTCTGAAAACCTCAGCGTGAGAGGGCCGTTGATGGCTGTCCGGGTGTAGACGTTCAGCTTGTCGATGTCTCTGCCGTACATGTGAGCGAAAAAGGTCATCAGACACAGGTTGGTCGGGGCTAGGGCAGGACTCACCAACCAGGCTCTATCCCCAGGCAAGCGACCTAAGGCCTTGATGTACAGGTAGTGTCCGGTGGCTAGTGATGTGGTGTGGTCCACTGAGGGACCCGTGGAGTGCAGAGGCGTACTTTTGGTGTTGCGCGTCCAGTCAAACTCATCCAGGACGTGCTCTTGGGTCCAGTCACACAGGTCCGACTCAAAACTGCAACGGTGGTAGGCGGAGCACGTGGTGTCCAACTCATCCGTGCCGTCACCGCAGTCGTCAACAAAGTTGCACGCCAACTTGGGGGAGATACAGCCTCCGTTGGCACATTTGAAGCTGTTAGCAGCCGATTGACAACTCGTGTTAGGGTCTGGGTAGTCACAGTTTCGGAAACTGATGTCGTCAATAGCGATATCACCAAGAGTGGTGTACGATCGCTTGGCAAGGATAGCCACGGTAAAGGGAGCGTTGGATGCTCCTATAGGAACGACCTTTTGCTGCCAGCTGTCGCCGTAATCCATATTGGTGCTGAAGAGGGTAAACTCCTGAACACCCTCTTTCCTGGAGACCATCAGTGTGCCGATGTTTGTGCCCGTCATGTGGAAAAAGAAGACGAGCTCGCAGTTGGGGGCCGAGCGCTGCAGTAGCGGACTCTCAAAGCGCGCCGTGCCGTACCTGCCACTCTTAGCGTCCACGTACATGTAATAGCCCGCAGGTGCTCCCAGGGTGTGGTCCACTGTAGGGCCCGTGTTAGCGTTGGGGGTAGCTCCCCGTAACTTTCTCCACTGATACGAGCCCTGTTGAGTGTTTTTCCACTTACAGTCCTTCTCAAACGTGCAGTCATACTCACACGCCGTTTCCTCCTCTCCATCAGGACAGTCTTTGTGGAAGTCACAGACCATTCTGCGGGATAGGTACTGGCCGTTAGCCGAGCAGTGGAAGGCGTTGAAGGTTGGAGCTGGGGTGGATGAGGAGCAACTGCCCATTTGTATGGCCAGGTCATCCAAGGCAATATCACTCCTCATCTGGGTGCCAATGGTGCCCTCTAGAATGACAAAGAATTCAGAGCTGAAGGGTCCCAATGTGACACGCTTAGCATTCCAGACGGCCCCCTGGTCTCCTGACATGGTAAACAGTGTTAAGGGAGCCGTTGCCGACGAAGGCAAAGTTTGAATCTTTACAGTGAATTTACCTACAGACGAACCTTTCATGTAATACCAAAGGTTGAGGCAGTACGTTGTTGAGACTTTCAGGCGAGGGGAAACTAACTGAGCTACATCTCCAGGTTTCCTTGGGAGCAGACTATCTAAGACCAGGTAGCCTCCGTACTTTGTATTTAGAGTGTGGTCAACGCTAGGCCCTGTGTATGTTCTGTAGCCTCGACCCCGGAGCCAGTCAAACGTGTCCCCTGTCCGGGTGTTGCTCCAAGCACAGATCTCCCCCTCAAAGTCACAACTACCCAAGCCTGGACACTGACCGCTAATGAGAGACACGTCGTCAATGGCCAGGTCTCCAGCACCGGACCCCGAGACTTGAGCCTCAAACATCAAGTAAAATCGCGAGTTGCTGGCGACATTCACAAGAGCTAATTGCCATGGAGACGAGGTTCCAACTGATGGGGCGAATGTTTGAAGGGTAGAACTGAGAGCCGAACCTTCTGCTAGCTGCTGTATGGAGAGCTGAGCCTTGCCCGGCCGGTACCAGAAGGTAAAGCAAGAAGCGTCCGTGGGTGTGAACACAGAAGTCTCCAGGCGAGCCACGTCCCCGACCGACCTGTCCGGTGAAGTGACATTTGCCAGAGCGAAGTGGCCCTCGCTCGTGCCAAACGTGTGGTCAACAGACGGTGAAGAGCTAACTGCACCGGATGACGCCACTGCAGCAGCGGCTGTGACAGTCCAATCAAAATCATCCGCGGGCACTTGCATGAATTTGCAGAGTCCGTCCTCAAAATCACACCTCGGCGAAGCCGGGCAGTCTCCTAAGTTCATGGAGAAATCGTCGAGAGCTATATCCCCATTGTTATCAGCTGTCTCAAGGGCCTGCGCTGTGAGGAAAGCTGTGGCTCCGATCATGTCTTGTACGTGAACTTGCACAAACTTCCACTCAGGCCCTTGTGTGCCGACACGTGTCCACAAGAGGTCACTGTTCCCGCCTGGGCTGCTGGCGTTGACGTACAGGCTGAGCCGCCCGACGCTAGACCCATACATATAGTACCAGAATTTGAAGCAAATACCGCCAGTGGGTATGGTCACTGTGGGGCTGACGAGCCTGGATGTTCCGCTACGCCTGAGTGTGCTGGGTCGGTAGATATAGTGTCCGAGAGCGTTGTTGTACGTGTGGTCAGCAGTCGGACCTGTTGCCGTGCTGGGGGTTCTACCGGCTCGGACCAACCAGTCCTGATCATTGCTTGGATCTTGTTTCCACAGACAGAACTGGCTCTCAAAGTTACAGTCCAGCTTGGTTGCTGCATAGGTCGGAGGGATCGTGGATGGAGGAGGTGTGGTGGACAGTTTCTGTTGGCCACCACAGGGGAAGCTGAACAGATGTATGTCATCTATGGCAATATCTCCCGAATAGTTGCCACCATACACGCCCTCGAAGATGTACTCAAACATCTGAGAAGAGTGGACTGTGACCTGCCCTTTCTGCCATGAGTTCCCTTGATTGTTGCTCAGAGCCCACACCAACGTCTTCAGGCTGCTGCCAAGCAGTTTTGTGTAGATGTTGAGCGTGCCGATACCGGCCCCGTACATGTGGTACCAGAACTCCAAACAGCTGCCCGTAGTGGCCGGGATGGGCTCACTCTGAAGCCAGGCACTGTCTCCCAGTTTGTGGCTGCCCGAAGTCTCAATGTACAAGTACTGCCCTTGTTTAGTGCCCGTCGTGTGGTCTACTTGTGGGCCCGTGTTGGAGGACAATGTACCTGCACTGTCCAGTACCCAGTCAAACTGATCCCCTTTCTTCACATTGAAAAACGCACACAGACCCTGTTCAAAAGAGCAGGAGCCTATGGGTTGACAAGGGAGAAAACTGACAGCGATATCATCAATGGCAATGTCACTTGTGTAACTTGATCCCCTAACTCCTTCAAATTGGATTTGTAAAGGTTTGCCGTTACCCGAGAGCTGGACGCTGGCTTTCTTCCAGGCATTCTCCTGCGGGCCTTGTAAGCTCCAGAGTTTGACGCTGGCTGAGCCAGGTGTCTTCTTGTAGACATTGAGCGTGCCCATGCCGCGGCCGTACATATGGTACCAGAAGGTGAGGCAGCCGCCGTACACTTTGTAGTCTTTGCTGGTGATGACTGCAGTGTCTCCAGTCGCACGTCCTGAGGCCTCGATGTAGGCGTACTTCCCCACAGATGAGCCGTGAGTGTGGTCAGTTCCTGGACCCGTGCCACTAGAGCTTGTTGCGTTGTTACCAAGTGTCCAGTTAAACACATCGTTCGTCTCCTGGGTCCAATCACAGAATCCAGACTCAAAGGTGCATTCCTTGAGAGCTGGACAATCACCTCTCTTGGTGGTGATGTCATCGATGGCTATATCTCCCTGGTAGCCGGTGCCGATAGTAGCCCGGAACGTGAGACCATACGAACTGCTCATGTTCATAAATACGTTCATTTGTACCCATTTGTCTGCCTGCGTGCCAGATAGAGACCAAAGGATGTCGGCTTTGCGAGCGTAAGGGCTAGTGGATAGTAGCTGCAGCGACCCAATGTCTTCTCCATGCATGTGGTACCAGAAGGACAGGCAGTAGCCAATCAGGTCTGTGGGCGGCAGTGTTGGGCTCACTAGGTCCGCCGTTTCGTTTTGTTTTCTAGGTGAAGAACTTTCAATGTACATGTACTTCCCACTACCCCCGTGAGCGCTCGGAGGTCCAGTGCCAGAGCTAGAGGTCGGGCCACTATTGTGCGTCCAGTCAAACACGTCACTGTTGGTCTGCTTCCAGTTGCAAGTGTTCTGGTCAAACGAACACGCCACAGACGGGGGTGCCTTGGTCCGGCTGCAGGACGAGAAAGAAACGTCGTCAATAGACGCAAAGTTCTGGAGACTCGCACTGCTCTGTGCTGTACTCGAGGCTTCATACCAGATCTCGATCTGGGTACCAGACGGAAGTTCTCCAACAGTACGTCCAAGGTAAACGTACGCAGCGCGCCAATTTCCGCTAAATGTCGGAGAGGACCACACACGGGTTTTAACACCTTTGTAGGGCACCATGACCGACAGTCTTCCAGCTGCGGGATTTATGTGGTAGAAAAACTTCATAACACACAGAGTGGACGTACCGCCAAGCACGGGGGAGCGAAGGATGGCCGGGGAGGACAGGATGCCGTAAGCTGGTTTTATGTAAGCATAGTGGCCGTTGGCGTTGGCCAGCGTGTTATCTATTGAAGGCCCCACTTTACCCATGTCTGCTGGTTTGCTCAGATCCCATCTATAGTGTCCAGAGCTGGCGTGGAACCAGCCGCACATGGTTCCATTCTCGAAGTTACAGGTGCCACACTGAGCCTCATCTGAGCCGTCAGAACAGTCTGGATCAAAGTTACAGACCTTGTTGAGTCCCACACACTGGCCGCTGGTACATTGGAAGTATGTCGAGTAGCACGTCCTTTTCGTGGTGGCAACCGTTGTCATGGTGTAAGTAGCTGCTGGGAGGGTGGTACCGGTGGCCACTTTACATCCAGGTGAAAGAGTAACATCGTCCAGTGCCATGTCTCCGAGGTAAGAGCCCACGACACCCTCGATAATCACCCTGAAGGACTTCTGGCTCACCAGAGGGATGATGGCGCGTGCCCAGAAGTTCTGACGGGTGCTGAGTTGGGTGAAGAGAAGCTGTGGGTACCCTGCCTTCTCTGTGAGCATGTAGATGTTGAGGGGCTGCATGGTGCTCCCGTACATGTGATAGAACAGTGAGAGGTGACACTGATCCGACACTTGAGCCGGACTCACCACTGGGCTCATTAGCTTCGCCTTCTGGCCCGTCTTCGCTGGGCTCGAGGTCTCTAGATACACAAAATGACCGGTGTCCAGCCCCGTACTGTGGTCAACTGAAGGCCCGGTATTGTCCGTGGGGGTTGGCCCCTGGTGTATTCTCCAGTCCATATCGTCATGGGTGTCTTGCTGCCAGCTGCACAGGTCCGTCTCAAAGTTACACCGGTGTGCTTGATTGCAGCTGAGGTCTGTCTCATCACTGTTGTCTCCACAGTCGTCCGTCAGATCACACAGGTACACGCGGTCCACACACACGCCATTGCCACAGCGGAACTTTGTGGACGGGCAGGACGCTGCAGGCTGAGGGGGCCCGCAGTTCACAAACTTTGTGTCATCTATAGCGATGGACCCCGGGGTGGAGTAGAGCCTTGAGGCTTTCAGCAGAACCCGAATCTGACTGGTGTAGTGGCCAACGTACACTTGCGCCAGAGCCCATTTGGAGCCGGTGGTGGGCATAGGGGGCGCCTTCCAGATGGTCATTTCTCTCGAGCCAATCTGTACCGAAACAATCAACCATACAGTAGTTACGCTGCAAGAGGCTCAATAATTATAATTTGAGGAAAAGTTAGTACACACACAAACACACACACACACACACACACACACACACACACACACACACACACACACACACACACACACACACACACACACCACTGAATAACTATCGCAATTATAATAGAGTATTTACAATACATAAACACAAGGCAACAGGAACAATAATGTCAAAACTGAACTGAGAAAAAAAGGAACAGAGAAAAATGCATGTATCACAAGATCATGGAAATAAGCATATACAAAAACAAGTAATGAGGTCAAGAAACGAGATTAATAAAGTAGCAGTAAGATGTCTTATCACTCGCCCCCCCCCCCTTCCCCACTCAAGAAAATCACACTCTTTAAATCCTCAACAGTTCTACATCAGTTGGTTACAGAACAGCCTGTGTTGTCCTTAACTCTCTCAGACGATAGTAGAAAAAGCATTCCACATTGGCTCACCCACAAACTTTTTGATCTTCTTCTCTGTTTCTTTGATGGATCTTTCCGACTAATGCAGTATCATGTTCCCAAACATGGTCTAGTTTTCTAAATCTGAGGGTTTTTCTCGTGTTTTACGCAGCCACAGGACCTTTATTGTCTTTTGGGGGGGGGGGGGGTACTTTTAGGCCTACTATTAAATTCTACATCGAACATAACCCATTCGTAACCCAGATAGCACCATTTTATCTTCAAGAGAACAACACTTGCCTCCTCCTCCCCCTCCCTAATCGCCCCCCCCCCTAACCCCACACATTAAGTCTACCTGACAAAAGATGTCTGAATGTGACAAATGATGAACTGTCATCTCCTCTACAAGAAAACTAACCTGAATGTCGACAGACAGACTGCCCGCCGGTTTCTTGTAGTAAAACTGGAACTGGCAAGTCTCGTATGTGGCATGTAGCAAGGGGGTGGTCAGCGTGGCCTTGCTGGCGTAGGGGCCTTGACTTCGTGACACGTACATGAAGTGACCAGAGGTCGAGTCCAGGGTGTGGTCAGCTCCCACTCGATCCTTGAGGTCGTCTGTGTCCAAGTCCCGAGCTTGCTTCCACCTAAAGGCTCCTTTGCTCACGTCGGAGAAGCCGCAGAGATCTGTTTCGAACGAGCAAGTGCCACAGTGGGCCTCGTCTGTGGCGTTGGCGCAGTCTGGGTGGTAGTCACACACCTGCACACAGAGACAGACAGAGGTGTATTTAGATTTACCGGCACACAGAGACAGACAGGGATATACTTAGAATTACTTAGACTTAGAAACTACTACGTCTTGAAACGCACCAGTTTTTCAGAGATGACCAGGAAAATCTGTCTGCAGCTATCACAAGGACACCACTCCATTTTTTTGTCCACAAGTACTTTTGCAATAGTCCGTTTTCCTTTCATTTTTGGTCGCCCCCAGGCCTCTCTTTCCACCGAAGACAGAGAGAAGTGTACACCCACATAGAAACTATTAAAATTTGCATTATTTAGTACAATAGCTGCTCTGACCCTACATGTCAGGGCTAACAGTGGTAACTTGCTGTACACAGTTGGCCGATTTGGTAACTTTGGTGAGCAGTGAGAATCACCTGCATAGTCACAGGTATTATTTGATGCCCCTCTTGGAAATACATGGCATGTTGGTGGCGGGTACGAAAATGCTAGCATCTGATAGATAACAAAATTGGACGCTGTGGCAATAGGAGGGTTGACAAGCACTAATTTACAATATTTAAAGGATGATAGCTGTTTTGAGACTGCCTGTCAAGGCTAACAGTAGTCACAAGCTGTACAAGGAGAGAACGCTTTTGTAATTCTTCAATCATGTTTAACATCCCCTTTGATACACTTCAAATCACTCTAGGACTTTTGAATCTCCATAAAGGCCATAAACATCTTGCCCTCGTTGGAGAAATAGACAGCAAAAGAGACAGAGGTACACAAAGAACAGTTTCTTGTAAGATATTATAGTTAGAAAATCATACCTTCTTGTAACATATTTCAGTTCCCATTCGTTTCAGTTCCCTTTAAGACCTTGAAGGATATTTTAGTTCCCATTCATACCTTCTCGTAAGATATTTTAGTTCCCAATTATATACCTTCTTTTAAGGTATTTTAGTTCCTATATAATTAGATCTTCCTGTAAGATGTTTTAGTTCCCATTCATACCTTATAAGATGATTTAATTCCCATGCATACCTTGTAAGATTTTTTAGTTTCCAAACTTACTACGTAAGTATTTTAGATTCCAATCGTTTCTTGTAAAATATTTTAGTTCCTTATCATACCTTCTTGTAGGATGTTTTAGTTTCCAATCGTACCTTAAAGTGGAATATTTCAGTTCCATTTAACCATTCTTGTTGGACACTTAAGTGTCCATTCCTACCTTGCTGTGAGATATTGTACTTCCATCTCCACAAGTGAAACTATCCGGTGGCTTTACGCAGCGTCCAGAAGTGAGTTGTATGTCATCAATAGCCATATCGCTGACGGACGGGTCGCCAACTACTCCCTCAAACATCAGGCTGTACGGACTTGTGGAAGAAATATCAACCTGCCCGAGACAAAAATACGAGGTAAAAAAAATATCAAGTCACAAGCATAAAAATACATAAACATAGGGATATATCTTCAAATTCATAATAAAAATAATGCCTAATAATATTAATAATAATGATAATAATAACAATAATTTTTTACAAATAATAATAATAAAAACAATAGTAGTAATAATAATGATAATAATAACAATAATAATAATAATAATAATAATAATGATGATGATAATAACGATAGTAGTAATAATAATAATAATAATATTAATAGCAATAATAATAATAATAATAATAATACTAATAATGATTGCATTTTTATAGCCCATATCCACGATCTATGGCATGCTCTATAAACTTTACATACAACTATCATTACCCAAATAGACACTACAACACGACTCAAAAACATTTTCTGCTTCCCGGGAAGTGTACAACTCAGGTAGCAAATAACAAGCGCTCAATCACTAACAAATTGAAAAGTAAATTAAATTCTAATACAGAAAATAGATTAGAAAAAAACAGAACAGAAGGAAAAATACTTAGCTTGAAAACACTCGAATAAAAAGACATCTTTTAATGTACTGATGTTATTTGTACTAAAAGAGCATATTACCTGTTCATGAACCCAGTTCACGCCTTGGGGTCCGGTCATTGTCCAGAGTGAGGAGTAATGTCCACTTCCTGCAATGTCGTTGTCCCAGTAAACAGACATTGTTCCTGCGTCATTACCTTGGTACATCTTCACATAGAAGCTCAGACAGGAGGCGCGGGTGGCCTTCAGTACCTCCGAGTACAAACGAGCTTTCTCCCCTCGCTTTCTGTACTTTGTGTCGATGAGCATGTAGTGGCCTGGGAAAGTCACAACAAAACAGATAGGTAAAACAAGGGGCGTAGTTAGCTCAGTTGGTAGTTTGCTGGACTGAGGGACTTCGAGCTAATATTATTGTGTCTTATAATTGTAGTAGTCTAACAATACGACAATATACAAAAACTTATGATTTGATCTTCACAATCCATCTAGCACTGTGTTAATGTCCAGGGACTTAAATTCTCCTTCTGAGCGACCCCCTTACATAAAGGACAGGCCTGTACACAGCAGCTCACCTAAGCTGGTCCGCAGCGTGTGGTCAGATGTAGGTCCACTCTGTGCATAAGAACTGCCTTGTCTGATCTCCCAGTCAAAGTCATCTCCCGGTACACTGTTGTAATAGAGACAGGGTCCGTTCTCAAAGTCGCAAGTGGCAGGAGGGGGGCAGGCCCCGAGGACAACTGATACATCATCAATGGCGATGTCGCTGGTCACTGAGCCACCAAGCACTCCTTCAAACACAACCTGAATAGCAAAAAAAAGCACAGGGCATTCAGTGGAAGCAGAGAAATAAACAACACAGCAATATTTAACCATACACATTAAAAGCAAGCAAAGCAATTAATAGCCCATCAATATTTAAAACAAGTGGAGCAATTAATAACTAACACCGCAATATTTAAAACATGCGTAGCAATAAATAACACAACAATATTTAAAGCATGAAGAGCAATAAATAACATAGAGATATTTAAAGCAAGCAGAGCAACTACGAGTACCAACACAGCAATATTAATGATAGCACAATTATAGACAGAACAGCAATACAGTGGAATTTGGTTTCAATGAACTCGTATTAAACAAAGAGAGTTGGGATTCCTTGATTTTTTTATTCATAAAATTAAATAAAAATAACCCGGATTCAACGAATACATAAATGAGCAAGCTTAAATTCAATGAAGTTGCTTGCAGGGTGAACTGCTCTATACGAATAATCACCGGTCTCCTTCCATACCAACACAGGCGTCATAATCACGCACCCATGTCTTAGCGTGTGTCGGGGTCTGACGGGCGGCCAGCTAACAAGTGACTATGTGTGCATGTGTCTTGGGGGATGGGGGAGGGGGAGGGAGTACAAACGGTCTGGGCGTGGAACGTCAGTAGAGAAACAAAGACGACGCATTCATTTTTTTCCTTGGCTACTGATATATATTGCAATGATAAGCGAGTCTTAACATAGATCTACATAATGAATTGCCCGTTGAACTGGAATCAAATGTTGCCGTATGCTAGGCTCTACCCAGCAACAGAACTCGTTTGGCAAACAATACGTTATAGAAGATAGATGACTCAGGCATGTATTTGAACAAATGGGATCTTTTGTACAGTGTGTGCTTGGTAGAGTTCAGTGTATTTTCCTGAAATTTTCCAGCAATTCTGTGGTATCAAAGAAATGAAAGTTCCTCTCATTTGAAACCAAACTGCTTTTGACTGAGAAAGTCGAATATATTATACATTACTTGCTCGGTGCTGTAATTTTCTACACAAAAACCTCATAACGAAATCGAAGGCCAGGCCCAACGATTTCGTTGAATCCGAGTTCCACTGTATTTAACAATGCGTAGCGATAGACAATACAGAGATATTTAAGACAATCAGACCAAAAAAACAGTGGAGTGATATTAAATGCTTGTCATCACACACAAGAGATGCGAGTTCAACTTGCATGTGGGTAAAATTTTCATCAAGTATGTTGGTCTATCTGTTGGGATGTTGAATCCCTCTTAGTCTGGGTTATTGGCCTTTACAGACAGGACAGAAGCCCATCTTTTAAATGATCTAAATTGTGTTGATGGGGGCATAAAAATGCTTAAAACTAAAGTAAAGTTGTTCCCCCATCCGACCCGGACATTGGGGATTGCCTTGTTAGTGAGACAACATCCTGAGCCTTCGGCATATTGTGTTAGGGTGGCCAGTTCCTTTCCACACTACCTTTACTTTCCCAACTCGAAGTCAGGTGCTCATTACTGCTGGGTGGAAAGGAGAGGGGGAAAAAATCTGTGTCCAAACGAAGGCTCGAACCCGGACTTTCACTTCGGAGACGAGCAAGTTAACCGCTCCGCCACCGCACCCTCAAAAAATGCTTACACTGAAAAAAAAAAATCTTTTTATACTAAACAGTGTATGTCACCTGGTAATCAGCAGCACTATTGATGGTGACAGCGGCCGGCTGCCATTGGTTACCCTGATTCCCCTTGGCCGACCAGATCGGAGAGTAGAGGCGACCGCGACGTTTCAGATAGACATTCAGTGTGCCCATATTGAGGCCGTACATGTGGTAGAAGAACTTGAGACATTTCCCGGTGGTGGCTTTCTGTGGTGGGCCCACCAGGCGTGCAGTGTCACCGCTTTTGGCAGGGGCAGATGACTCTGTGTACATGTAGGAGCCTGTAGGAAGAAATGGCAGAAGGTTACTTGGATACAAGTGCAAGCCATAAGAAGAAAAAGAAATCATAAGTTTTACCTTCTTACACATTCTTTGATTGATTTCAAACCTACTGATGACGTCACTCCTTAGGAGAATATCAAGGAAGTCAAGATCAGAAGAGAGGGAAGTAGTACTTGGGCAGTTTGTGTCCTCTATGTTTACTGCCCAAGCAAAGTTGTATCACGCTTACTGTTTTATGATAGTCTGTCGAAATGGATAGGGCCATCATCAGTAAGTCACGAGTTACAATTATTCTTATTTGGGTTCTAGTGCAGGCCATTACAAGTGATAATAATAGTCACCCCTTGAGCAACACAACATGGAACATGAAAGATTTCAAGAAGATTCTATTGATCTTAAAGGCCTTCCCGTTCATCCACACAATATAATAAAAGACTCAACAAATAAGTAAATTGGAGCAGCACTTCAGATGCACAAACTTTAATAAAAGAACAAGAAAGAAAAGAATAGTCTCTGTAGATGCTTGACATCTCCATCGACACTATTTAGATCCTCTAGGAGACCTACTGCTTCGACCAAAACAGTCAGGGCCAACCTGAGCTGAGAGGGATATAACGTACTACCAGAAAGACGAAGATACTCAATACAAATCCTCTGAATGCAACACCAATAAAGTGCCTAACCACTACACCACATATGCAGAGTATTTAAACTACAACAGAATCCGCCCTAAAGATCACCTGTCCAAGACAATCACTCGTACAAATGGCCACTTATCATTTTGATTTTTTTTTTATGACCACTTCTTATTTCCCTCTTGAATTTTAAAAATATTATAATGGCATTGCCCGAGATGTCTACCTGTCTAAAACAATCACTTTACTCTTACACAAAGGGAGGTCTTTTCGGACAATTTTTGGGGGGAAAAAGGAGAGAAAAGCTGACCTGTGGAAGTGCCGTAGGTGTGGTCACTGGATGGTCCGGTGCTCCCCGATGGTGTGCGTCCACTGGTTTGTGTCCAGTTGAGTGTGGCCAGATTGTCCTGGCTAAAGCCACAGATGCTCACGTCTTCAAAGTCACATACACCTGGTGGAAAAAAGAAGATACAATAGCAACTAGACATCAAACTTTTCATCCACTCAGTTTTTAAGTAAAATGCAGTCACTCAAATTATAAATCAATGGTGTTATGCTTTAACCGCCTCGTAAATTGCTTGGAAAAATCATTGAACACATGCCCTCCAAAAAAAGGGGGGAAACCCCGTCTTTTTCTTCAAGTGAAGAGAAAGCAAAAAAGTTTGCCAAGTACTTTTATACTATTTATAGTGCATGCAGATTTCTGCCCACACAGGAATTGAACTCAAGTCTCCCGCATGCAATAGCAACTGCAAGCTCATGCTCAGTAATTAACCGAAGACCCATAGATAAACCTCTGTAAAGTTTACAAAAGAAAAAGAGAGTTATTTGGTGTCAGCACTTATCTTTGTCACTGCTTTCACAATATTGATATGGTAAAGCTCAAAGAAAGACTGGAGTGAACAATCAACTTGGATTTTTTATTGCTATGGACTTATTAACAATCATTTAGTGATGAGAGAAAGCAAAAAAAGCAATCAGAATTTTCAAACAACAGAGGGAGAGAAAAGAAGTAGGGTGTACTAGTGGCAGACAACCAATGTCAGAGCTGGCGAGCCTTTTCTAAAATTAATACATCTCTATCACCTCAAAGTTATGCACAATTTGGCCGCAGGATTACCTCCATATTCCAAACAAGTTCCCGGATGTGTGGAGATATCATCAATGGCTGTATCCCCCAGGTAGCTTCTTAGCATCACAGCTTCAAAAACCATCTGCAATTTAAAAAACAAAAATTTAATTAAACTTACATAATTTATATAAAACAACAAATGTCTACGTTCGAAATGTACTCAGTCAAGAGAATACATGTGAGGCATCATGGTGAAATCAGGCGCTCGTCAAAATAGTGAAATTGGAGAAATCAGCATTTTCCCGTCGTTTCGGCTATTTTTACACATGTATATGGCTTTTGGTTCATTGAAGTCCTGTTACAAACACATTTCTAAATAGATTTTACTGAATATCTATGATTAAAGGCACAAAAAGTATATATTTTCACTTTCCCATTTCTCTCAAGCTATGGAAATCATCAAACTTTGGCAGCCATTTTCTCGCTGAATTTACCTATGAAACCAGGTAACCCCCACCTCCTTCAATTGTTCAAGATAGCTTAGTAGCTTTTTTTTCATTGAAACCAAGACAAATGAACAAGCTTTACGTTGATACCTAAAACTTTAAATGCCCCAAGACTGACGAGCGCCCGATTCCACCTTGTCGTGACAAATATTTCTTTTAAAAACGTAAAGAACACAAACGCAAAATTGTCATTTTCCAGATGCATACACCACGCACACCACTGGAATAAGCTGTGTGTGAGACACGCAAAGAAGTATTTTACTTTTACCCGAGAACCAGTCATATGATGGGTGTCATCAGTACGCCTACCTGCATTGTGGAGGTTGGCTGTACCAGAGAACTCGGTGTGATGTGGACGCTGGCCATCTTCCAGAAACGACCTTGATCGCCTGACCGCTGCCACAGGATAGGGCCAAGAGCGCCTGGAGACACAGAAAGGAGACAGTGACCATCAGCATATCTATGGTATTCAGGTCTAACAATGTATCTGGTTTCTTTGAAATGTTTTTTAAGGCAAAACACAAAGCCTTACGAAGGATGTTTCGTTGTTCTGTCTGTGCGGTGGGTTGGGTGGCAAAATGAGATATTTCTCAGATGTTAGCGCTGTAGTAACAGATACATAAAATTTATAGGTAGAGTTTGAACAATGTATAAGTATGGAAAAATAAAAAACATGTTAAACTTGGGGGGGAAAAGGTATCAATTGAAAACTTACAAATTTGACCCCAGTGTCGTTGACTTTCAGCCAATATTGCCAATCGTGAATTGCAAAAAGTAACTCATTTTGTCAGCCCAGCTAACACATCTATGGTGTTTAGTTCTCACCGTGTAACTGGTTTCTTTGAAAACACAAAGCCTTATCAATGGTTCTATATTCTATATTCTAATCCTATACCTGGTTTCTTGAAAATCTTTTGGAGACTAAAAAATATCATTATTGATAGATTTAAGCTCAAGCTCTAATAAATAATAATACGTGGAGTGTACTGACGAAATGAGTTGCTTCTCGGATTCAAGCTCTTTGGAAATAGATACATCATGCTTATAGGGGAAGTTTTTACAATTTATAAGTATGAAATAATAAAAGACATGTTAGACCTAAAGAATATGGCATCATTGGAAAATCTAAAAATTTGACGCTAGTTAATTTTTGGCCAATATCTCCTATTGTGGATTGCGAGAAATAACTCATTATGTCGGCACACCTCACGCGTTTAATTCAAAAATGAAACTTTATTGATCCCGAAGGGAAATTTGGTTAACAAAGGCAAACATACATAAATAAATATATAATCAAAAACACTTAATATAAAGAATATCAAATACACAATATCATACCAATACAGAACAACTTCATGAACATGCCATATTGCCGGTTGACACTGCGCAGTGACCTTTATCATGTCTTGTTCAAGGACACACACCAATGACCACCCGTCTAAACCCTGTGCCAATGATACTTGCTTTACATTACGTTTGAGTCTGAACTCACTATTCCCTAGGCCACTGGAGCCCCCAGCCACTGGTTTCTAGAAAAATATTTGGAGGCCAAAGACCCCCAACGCAATAGACGGTTTTATGTTCTAAAATTTTAATTTTGATTAGATTTAAATGGAGCAAAAAGACGGAAAAGTACTCCTACACTAGTTATAGTGTGACCTGTAGCCTAATTATTTTTTTTTTGCAATGAGGATTCAGAAATTGATTTCAGCTATGGTTTTACAATAAATTTCTTGCCGTTACTTTTTTCTGACATTTATGCTCTTCTGACAAAAAACAGCTCATTTTGGGAAAAAAGAAAAGTAATGAGAAGGTTTGCATTACAAAGCACCTATTTTAAACTGGTATACAAAGGCCTTGCTTCACAAACGAAGATACAACCACGAAAACCACACAAAAACTCATCACTGACAAGCCAATGTGGGATAGACAGGTCAGCAACACAAATGAATTAATAAGGCTGATATTCAGGGATGGACACATAGAAAACTCACCATTCTGCTGCGCATAGACATTCAGAGAGCCAATGGTGCTTCCGTACATAAGGTACCAGAATATGAGACATATGCCATCTTTGTTGAGCTGCACATCCTTACTGAACAGGCGTGCTGTGTCGTTGGCTGATGTGGGGGAGCTCTCCGTATACAAGTAGTAGCCTGGATAGCAAGAGAGTGAAAGAAAGTCACGACAATGTACAGTTATCTCAAGTACTGTTTAGCAAGGTGAAATAACGAAAGGTGAAATAACGTAAAGTGAAATAGCTTAGTGAGTTTCCATCCCTTACTCTTCATGCTTCCTTCAATCTGCCCTCTTCTCTCTGTCTACCTCTGTCTCTCTCTCTGTCTCTCTCATGGTCTCCCCCAGTCGAGTCTGTCTCTCTGTTCCACCTCTGTCTGTCTGTCTGTCTGTCTGTCTGTCTGTCTGTCTGTCTGTCTGTCTGTCTGTCTGTCTCTCTCTCTCTCTGTCTCTCTCTCTCTCTGTCTCTCTCTGTCTCTCTTTCTCCCTCTCTGTATATATGCATTGAGAGAGAAAGAGCCACATACACGAGACTATATATATATATATATATATATATAAATTATATATCTTCACCTCCACCCTCCTTCTGTCTCTCTATCTCTTTCTCATGGCACCAGAGCTGAAACTTTCAACACCAAAACAAGCAACACCTCTCGTACTCACCTTTTCCAGTGGTGTGGTCAAAGCTGGGTCCAGTGTAGGATGAGTCTGTAGCTCCTTTGTGGATGGTCCAGTCGAACTGGTCAGAGGTGTCCTCACTCCAGGAACACCGCGTGTTGCTGTCAAAGTTACAGTCATACTGGGAGGGTGCTGCAGCGAGAGAGAAACATTTAAAAAGGGAAAGTCATAAACAGTATTAACAAAACTTAACTGCCAACGTCTTTACAATAGGTGGAGGTGGGGTACATGAGGAAAGGGGGAGAGACCAGGATGGGATGGGGGGGGGGATTGACGGTGGAAAGGGGGATGACAGGGGTGGAGGAAAGGGAATAGAGGGGGTGGAGGGGGAGAGTGGGGGTGAACGGTGGGGCGGCTTCCAATGAGCCAAAATATTGCAATTATAATTCACCTGTCAATGTCTCACAGTGACCAATGAACTTGCATCAGAAAATATTTTTTTAAGGTAAAATAGGAGAATGAATACGGGATAAGATGACTTGTGGCTTCCTCTATGGCCCATTGGACCAATTCTGGCAGAGAGTAGCTTGACACGCTTTGAGTATTTTAAAATTTCATTTTCATTCAAACATGTGAGCTTCTCTCTTGAATTCAGCATTTTTAATTCCAAATTATATACACATGGGATTAAAACTTATTAATTCCAAACTAGCACTTAACCTTCTCCCTTTCACAAACAAATCATATTACATTTATTTTTAAAAGCGCTACGTAAAATCCGCGATGTATAAAAACAGCCAATGCAGTACATTGAAGATCCTCCAAATACAGTCAAAACTATCTCAGAAGGCCACCCAATGTCCAGAAGAAAAGTGTGCGTCATAGGCAGGTGGAGGTCTTACACGTGTCAGTATGATAACAGGTGTCACGGCGCGGTGGAATCAGGCGCTCGTCAATTTGCGGACATGTATAGTTATGGGTATCATTTTAAAGCTAGTTCATTTGTCTTGCTATTGTTTATAAAAAGTAGGGCCTTCTCATCTATCATGAATAGAAGTCGAAGTATTTGCGATTGAAGGTGGGGGGGGGGGTGCCTGGTTTCAGAGGTAAAATTAGCGAGAAAACGGCCGCCAAAATTTGACGACTACCAAAGTTTGAGAGTCCTTAGAAACCGCAAATTTACATTTTTGTGTCTTACATCAATATTTTTCATCAAAATCCACAAAGAAATTTGTTTTTTAATGGGTCTTAAAGACGCTGAGTTAAAAGACAAAAATTGGATTAAAATTGCCACATGGACTGAAAAATGCCATTTTCTTCAATTTAATTGTTTTGACGAGTGCCTGATTTCACTATGATGCCTCATGTATTTATATTTTCAAAAATACACAAGGGAAAAAATGGGAAGTAACCATTAGTACAGGTGATTGTCTTCAACAGGTGGTTGTTGGAGCAAGTTCAACTGTATAATTCTCAAAACATGTATTCCTTAATGCATTGACAAGTCTGTGAGGTGTGTGAAAGCCCATGCCATATTATATTATATATTTTGTTTACGATATTATGACTGCACTGATGTTTAAAAAGAATCAAACTAATAAAAACACATGACATTTCATCCACTGCCACAACACATAGTATCCTGTACTCACGATAAGTTGGCCTAGTAGCGACGGTGATGTCAGTGGGTGGGGGTGCCGTGGTGTTCATGCAGTCTCCATCGTAGATGATGACATCATCAATAGCAACGTCGCCCTGCCCGCCAGCTTTGCCAATTTCTCCATCAAACACGATCTGAGGATGAACAAAGAAGGATCAAAAGTAGAACATGAAAAAAAAAAGAGAAACAAGTAAGAGAAGTATTATGTTGCAAAGAAAAATAGTGTAAAGAAAACAAAGAAGAGTTGAAGTTGTATAAGACAGTCATCCATTAATGAGGAGAAATGTGTTTGTATTATGCAAATGGATGTCTTAGACAGTATCATATACATCAATAAGGCAGCGTGGTGAAATCAGGCTTTCGTCAAAATAATAAAATTGAAAAAAATTGGCATTTTTCTGCCGGTTTGGTAATTTTTATCAAATATGTGATTTATGGCTCAAAACCTTTTATGTCCATTTAAGAACCTATTTATGCGTGGGTTTTACTGAATTACGTTGATTAAAGGCACAAAAAATGTAAGTTTTCAGTTTCCACGAACGCTCGGGCTATGTAAATAACCAAATTCTGGCGCCATTATCTCGCTAATTTTACCTCTAAAACCAAGTGTCCCCCACCTCCTTCAATTGCAAATATCTCGCCTTGTATTCAAGATAAATGGGTATTTCATTCATCGAAAGCAAGGCAAATTATGTACAACCTTTAAGGCGATACCAATAACCCCACTTGCCCAAAAATTGACGACCGCCTGATTCCACCAAGACGTGAAAGATCTTATTTTTTTAGAATACAATGGGGAATTGGGAAGTGGTCATTTGTGCAAGTGGCAGTCTGGGACAGGAGGCCGTTGGAACAAATCTTACAATATTTATTGAAGTGGTAGGAGCATATTAAAGTGAGTCTCCATTCCCTCTCCTACCTCCCCCTCTCCCCCCCCCCCCCTCTTTCTTCCATCCTTCAACAATTATGTTCAGAGAAAGTATTTTCATCAAAGCTTATTTAGTGAAACTATTTATGATCAAACCTATCAAAAAAAACATCCATTGTCAATGGGGAAAAAATTGTCTTCTTCAACAGGTGGTTCTCTTGGACAGTGTCATTATAATTTAGAAAACCGCAAGGGGGAAGGTTGGGAGGGAGGGAATGGGAAGTGGTTATTTGTACATGGGATTGTACCCCCCCTCTCTCTCTCTCTCTCTCTCTCTCTCTCTCTCTCTCTCTCTCTCTCTCTCTCTCTCTCTCTCTCTCCGTCCCCCCTCTCTCGCTCTCTCGCGCTCTATCTCTCTCTTTTCTCACTCTCTCGCACTCTCTCTCTCTTTCTCTCGCTCTCTCATTTCTCTCTCTCTCTCATTTCTCTCTCTCTCCCTCTCTCTCCCTCTCTCTCTCTGCACTCTCTCTCTTTCTCCTCCTTCTCCCCCCCTCTCTCTCCCTTCCCCCCTCTCTTCCACGTCCCCCCTTCTCCTCTCTCTCTCTCTCCCTCTGCCTAAATAAGCGTAAGAGTTAGGTTCCCACCCACCTGATAAGGCACATCACTGGTAACGTTGAGCTGGACCTGCCTCCACTGGTCTCCCTGGTCACCTGACAGTTGCCACAACAGGGACGTGCTGTTGGTCGTTTTCACAAAGTACAGCCTCAGGGTACCCACATCTGCACGCACAGACAGAAATGACAGTGTCAAACAAACAACCCAAAAAACCAACCAACAAACAAACAAACAAACAAACAAAAATAGATGATAGGAAAATGCTGAAAGTGAGACTTAACATGAGTTTTAAAAGAAACTTAACAGGTCCTTAATATGAAACTTAAAACAATTACTAAAAATGAGACTTCAAAGGTTTAAAAAAAATAAGACGTTACAATTGCTACAAATCAACAAAGGCAAGAGTGAAAGCATCCTAAAAGTTTGCTATTTTATACAATAAATTTACTAAAGATTAATATAAAATCATTTTTAAAAGGCAGTGAGGAAATTGCCTCATAGGATTTTTATATTTAAAAAAATAATGTATCCGAGATCATTAATCATAACAGAGACTAGTGTGTGTGGTGTAAAGATTAGGATTCTCTTCGCCATGCACACTAATGACTTCAGTTATATTCCCACGATGGGAGGACTTTTAATTGAGTGCCTCTATCTCTCTGTCAGGACATATCACACACAAGCCAGGGTTTGCCCTGAAGGCGGAGTTAAAGAAACTTGGTACTTTTAAAAAATGTAATTACTCAGGTGCGACAAAATGTGGCATATCGTTAAAACTATTCAAAATGTTTGAAAAAATAAAAAATCAGCATGTTCATCATTAAATTGGCTACAAGAATATGCCCTTGTTTCAATATCCAAAATTGGTACATTTCACCTGGCACACACAATAATCTAAAAAAAATAATAAATCTAGATAAATTCCACTTTGATTCATAGGCCTACCTGTAGGGAGACTTGTTTTACTATAAGATACACACACAGATACAAAGATAAAAACATGCCATAAAAGATATCATTGTTTCTAAATCTACAATACCCATCGAGTACAGACAGTTAACATGAACAGTTTTAAAGAGAGTAATTTATAATTTAATCTCTCTGCGTTTTTACGGTCCTGTACAGCCAAGAAGAACTTCCCTCTGAGACAATAAAGTATTATAATCTGATCTTAAACATGCAGCTATCGCAGAGGATAACGCCATGAGGAAAAAGACACTTACCAGCTCCATACATGAAGTACCAGAACGAGACGCAGGAGTTCGGAGTGCTGGGGATGTCGTCAGAGTACAGCCACGCCCTCTCACCGGCATTCTGGGAACTGGACTCGATGTACATGTAGTAGCCTGGGACAGGTTTAGAAACAGTTTTGTTTAGTTTTATTAAGAGTTGTACGGCACTAGCAAATAAAAAAATACATCATGTAAAAGCCCATTAATCGAGTTGTCACTAAAGAATTACATCCCGCCCCCCCCCCCCCCAAAAAAAAGAAGGCGAGATAAGGACGACAGATATTTGACAGAAAAGAGGGAAAGAGGAAACCACACTAGAGCACCCGCTAACCACTCACCTTGGGACAAGGAAAGAAGTCTAAGTGGAAATATCAGTGTGGACATCACTTTTTAAATTATGAACACACCAAGGTTGTACCGTACTACAATTCATCAGTAACTCTACTTTCCCTTTCATATTTTTCATCATCAAACATGTTCTTTTAAGAAGCTCTCCATAGACAGAAAACAATGAAAACCTTCCTGATCACTGGACCACAGCACACTCCCACGCACGCACACATGCACGCACACATGCACACACACACATGCACACACACACACACACACACACACACACACACACACACACACACACACACACACACACACACTATTATAATATATCAATGGTGTCATGCTCTAACAGTGTACTAAAAGAAAAAGGTCATCTCTTCCAAATTATACCAAGGGTTGGGATATAAAAGAAAGGATTTATACTGCCTGCAATGATTCCTATTCTCCAACCAAGTAAGTAAGTAAGTAAGAAAGGATTTTAAAACTTTCTGAGACTTTCGCAGATGATGCGACAACTGACCTGTACCAGTGTTGGAGGTGTGATCCACAGGGGGGCCGGTGCGGGACGTCAGTGTGCTACCAGAATTTCTCAACCAATCAAAATTGTCTATTGAAAGACGGGGATTGAAATAACCACACTGGTCGTACTCAAAGTCACAGGTTCCGATGTGTGGGCATGCTCCCTTGGCGATACGGATGTCATCAATGGCAATGTCGCCCTGGAAACCTTGGCCAACAACTCCTTCAAAAATGACCTGATGCAAAGAAATAATTCTTTTAAAGGATGACGTGGTGGCATCAGATATGCTTTCATGGAGACAGCGGAGAGAGCAAAGAGTACTATCAAGGATAATTAATATATGATGAAGAAAACACATAAAAAGGAGAAAAAAACCCTCATCAAAATGACAAAAGAGAAACCACAATCCTAAGGGGTTGGCAACAGAGAGCACATAAACAGATAATAAAATCTGTTGAATTTCCAAGTAATATAAAGAAGGTAAAATGGCCAGTTGAATGCAGTTAGCTTTTACGCACAAGTCAATTACTGAAGTATAGAGGTTCGTTTGTGAGCATTTCATTCGTTCCAAACACTGAGCCTGGGTTTTTGCCTCCATCGAATGTTCACAAAACCCATTAAACAACAGGTTCTACAGATATCTAAAGAAAACTCCCCTCTAGTTAGACCTTTTTTTAAAAAAAACATCACTTAACCTAAAGAACCTCAACTTGTAAAACTTTCAAAAGTTATGTAGATTTTTCAAAACACAAAGGAGTACATTTTACTGTAAACTTCTAAACTTTTCTAAAGAATCTCAAAATGTAAAACTTTCAAAAGTTAAATAGATGCTTCAAAACAAAAAGGAGTACATGTTACTGAAAGTGTCTAAATTTCTTATTAAAAATCTCATCTTGTCCAACCGCGAAGACAAACAGGAGTAAACTTTACAGTGAGTGACACTTACATTGAAGTTGCCGAGGGACCCATCAATGGTGGCTCTGCTCTGCGCCCAGAAGTTTCCTCGACCCAAATTGTCACTATTCCACAGTCGAACATCTCGACCGCTGGTCACCCGGGCGTAGACGTTGAGCTGTCCGATGTGGGCCCCGTACAGATGGTACCAGAAGTAGACGCAGTGAGACTGACTGTTGGTCACCATCACCTGGGGGCTCATCAGTTGTGCGTTGTCTCCCGAGTGACGACCAGAGGCTTCGATGTACATGTAGTAGCCTGAGCAACAAAGGAAAGGAATGCTTATCTATATCTAAATTTTATCCTTAGTTTAGTTTAGTAAGTTTTGCAGCGTTTGCAAATGCACCAGGTTCTATGAGTGCGGGAAACACAACTTGGTTGCATTCACAACAGTTCACAGCACGGCTAAACTTTACCCTTTACCCCAGCAAAGAACAATTAATGTTGAAGACCTCCGCCTTTCTTACCAAGGCCCCGGGCCAAAGGGAGCACGTTCAAAGGCTACTGAATTAACAATAACAATAACAACAACAATATCAGCAACAACATCAGCAACAACAAAAACAACAACAACTACAATAGCAACAGCAACAATAACAACAACAACAACAACAACACATCTAAACATTTTGTTTATTGAATGGAGCATTTATTTCTACTCAGTGTAGTTGTTGTTTTTTCTTAAAGTTATAAGTAATGGGGTAATAGGAGCTGTGTTAAAGGGAAACTTGTGATGGATACGGCTGAAAATTGGATGACAACACTTACAACAGATGCTATAAATAAAATAAATGTTTTTACACCCCCATCAATGCAATTTAGATCATCTAGGAGACAGGGCTATAAATAAGCTCAATAATCTCAATGGTGACATGAAAACTTGACAATGATAAGAAGCTAAACGAAACTGAGCTTTTCATTATACACAAGACATATTGTAGGCCAATACAAGATGGAAGCATTAAACAACCTAACGGACAAGATTACAAATGCATTCTATTCCAGCTATGAGGTATTCTATTCCAGGTGTGAGACATTCTATTGACACTATGGGGCATTCTATTCCAGCTATGAGGTATTCTTTTCCAGCTATGGGGCATTCTGTTCCAGCTATGAGGTATTCTTTTCCAGCTATGGGGCATTCTGTTCCAGTTATGAGGTATTCTATTGCAGGTATGGAACATTCTATTCCAGATATGGGGCATTCTATTCCAGCTACGTGCACAAACCATTTCCGTTCTGTGTTGTGTGGTCCTTGGAAGGGCCGGTGCCTGCACTTCCTGTCCCATTGGTCCATCGAGTCCAGTCAAACTTATCTGTCCTCTTTAGTTGTGCGTATCCGCACAGATCTATCTCAAAGTCACACACAGCTGAAAGTAAACAAGCAAACATGGAAGGGGTTAACATTCTGTCTACAGTAACTTTCAGAATAAAGCCATGACAAAATACAAGGCACCAACTCTTCTGTATTCACGTAAAACTCAATAATGTAGGCGCTATTAAAGTACATACAAAGCAGAAAAGGGAATTTGCAAAGTGAAAGCAGTTGAGAAAGTTAAGCTTGCATGCAAATAGTGCACATTTTCACTGATGATCCTCTTTAACTAGATACAACAGGAAAAGTGAGGGCACCCTAGTATTCTTCGAGCCATACAACTTTTCAAGCTCCTTTCACATGTAACATGTCCTGATCTTACTTCAGACTCCTAAAAGGATTTGAGTGCCATATAAAGACAAAGAACTTAAATACAGAGAGTCAAACCTCTAACTGGCACCTGTCCAAGACAATCACCTAAACAAATAACAATTTCCTCCTTCCTTCCTGCATTTTTTTCTTTATTTTCAAGACAGTGTCTAAGATGTCCACCTGCCAAAAACAAACAGTTTTTTTCTTCGACTGAAGGTAGCCATCTTGGACCATTTCAACTCTGTGTATATGTACACTCAAAAAATGACTTACGTTTGCGAGGGCATTTTCCAGATCGCAAAGAGATGTCATCAAGCCCAATGTCTCCACTGTACTCTGACCCAACCAATCCTTCAAACGCAATCTGCAAAAAACAAACAACAGCATTAACACAAACTCATTCATCACAGGCATGAAAAAAAGCGGAAGAAATTCTTACACTTGTCAATTATCAAAAAATCTAAACAAAACCTCATAGATCACAGGCATGAAAACAGTGGAAGAAATTCTTACACTTGTTAATTATCAAATTGTAACAAAACCTCATAGATCAGAAACACGAATAGTCTGAATAAATAGAGAGAAATTCTTAACTCTTCACTACCGGAGAGGTTTTCCTCACCTGGACCGGACCCTATTTCTGACCTACTTTCTTATTCTGCCTACTGTCTGACAAATTAATGATTTTTAAATTAAATTTCAATATTAGCTATATGTATTACATAAGTAAATAAAGGGGAAATAATGACCTAAATCAAAATGTTACGATCAGTATTTTGCCTGAGATTTCAGATTTGATTATTACAAAAGTAGGTGTCGGTTTTTTTAAAGTAGGGTGTGGCGAGGCAGTAGAAAAAGAGTTAAACTGGTCAATTATCAATCAACTATTCCTGGAAAAGCTCCTCACAGTTAAAGTCCAAGAAATTCAAAATAGTGTTCATAGATTTAGTACGGAGAAAATCATCTACTCCTTAGCATAGGCATACAGACAAAGTCCTTTAAAGTTGGTGTCGTAGTTCATGGCATTACATACCAGCTCAAAACTTGCATAACCAAAAAATAATACCCAAGTTTTGCAATTTGACACAGATCAGCCACCTGGTCATTTACCAGAGGGTAGGCTACCAATTTATATAATCAGGATCTAAAACACATTTTAAAAGCACAGCCGACCCCTCAATAACGACTACCTGTCCAAGACAATCACCAATACAAATTATCACTTCCTACCCCCCTCCCCCCAACAACGCCCTTACGTGTTTTTTATATTAAAATGACAATGTCCAAGAAGTCCACTTGGCTAAGAAAAGCACTTTACTTATCTAAAGTGTTTGGGCGTCCTGGATAGTTTGGTCTTTATTTAAGGCACAGTGATTCCAGCAAATTTAATTAATCATTGATATGTTTTTTAATTCCTTATCTTCAACAAGCCACTCCCAGCAGCTTGCGGTCAGAACCACTGTGTTGGTGAGTCGCTGGTAGTGGTTCTGTCTCTTTTACTGGGTGTTCATTCATTAAATGAAAAACTATCAAAATAGGTTCATTTGAGTCAGGACGAGGTGGAATCATGCACTCGTCAATTTTTGGGCATATTGAGTTAATGTTATTATCATAATTAAAGCTTGTTTATTTGTCTTGCTTTGGGGGGAAAAGTACCCTTAAATCTTCAATAGAAATCAAGATAGTTGCCTTTGAAGGAGGTGGGGGTCGCCTTGTTTCAGAGGTAAAATTAGTGAGAAAATGGCCGCCAAAGTTTGGTGACTTCTAAAGCTTTAAAATCCTTGGAAACTGTAAATTTACATTTTCTTTGCCTTTAATCAACGTTTTTCCAGTAAAATCCACACAGCAATGTATTTTTAATGGACATAAAAGATATTGAGCCAAAAGATAGAAATTCATCAAAAATTGCACGCAGGAAAATACAAATGCCGTTTTCTTCTATTTCATTATTTTGACAAGCGCCTGATTTCACCACAATGCCTCACATTTGTTTTGATTTAATGACCAATTTAGTAAAATATATATCATTTTCAGATTTTGTACCAAAAGAGGGCCCCGGCATAGTGGGTTTACCCCCTTCGGAGATAAAGAGTTAATCAGTACAAGCACTGACCTGATAGTTCTTGGTCGTCTTGATTGGAGCCTCTCCCATTCTCCAGACGTTGCCCTGGGAATCGGATCGTGTCCAGATCAGAGTGTACTTGGTTTTGTCAGTGACCATGTAGACATTCAGTGTCTGAACGTTTGAGCCAAACATATGGTACCAGAACTCCAGGCAGTTGTCTGAGTCTGTGGAGGGAGAGGCGGTTAGAGATTAACGTAAAAGTAGGAGAGTAGAAGTTGTGGAACTAAGGGAAAAGGGGACCTGATGATAATAATAATCTAATAATTTAATAGCAAAAATTAATTACATTTTTATCACGCATTTCCACTAAGAAAGTGCTCAATGCCCTTTACAACAATACAAAGAGCACAGTTCCAATACCAGATAGTGATTCTTTCCCTCCCTTCTTCTCACTCTCTCTCTCTCTCTCTCTCTCTCTCTCTCTCTCTCTCTCTCTCTCTCTCTCTCTCTCTCTCTCTCTCTCTCTCTCTCCCTCCCTCCCTCCCTCCCTCCCTCCTTCTCTCTCTTTTTCTTTCTTTATTTTATTCCCACTCCCTCTCTCTACAGTTCTATTAGCGTTACTCTGATGAATACGGCGAGAAAACTAAAAGTATGCCACAGCAAAAAAGATGAAATTTGGATCAACAGTTCGTACAAGCTACTCGATAACGTTCTGTTTGAATCTTAAGCCTGTCTAACTCTCAGAAAGACCCTACTAGTAAAACAAAGGTCAGTACCTGGCGGAGGCTGTAGGGCAGACAGAAGGACAGCCCGGTCCCCAGGTTTTTGCGGGAAGGATGCCTCAATGTACAAGTAGTATCCCTTGCCCGTTGTGTGGTCACCCGAGGGTCCGGTGTAGTAGGATGGGGTCGGCAAGTTGGTGACCGTCCAGTCAAAGTCGTCGTTGCGAGACTCAAAGTAGTCACAGAAGTTTCCACCATCAAATGAGCAGTCCAAACCTGAGGGAGGTGGATTGGGGGGGTGGGGAAGAAATGTAGTATATCAAGATCAGGATATGTACAACAAGATATATTAAACAGTGCACCACATCGTATTAACTTACTGCATAGGAATGTTCACTCCCAGTCAATTTGTTGATTATCTTGCTTAGGGACACTGGTAGATGTAGATTCCACATCCATCACAGTCTTCACGTAATTGACAAAATCGTTTTTTCTTCTTATTGGAACGACAAAATGCCTGTTCCTTGTTTTCTATCCTCAGTGTAGCAGGGTTGTGTTGCTGGTACAAAACGTCTCAATATTGAGACATCCTCGCTTTGGCTTTTGCTCATGAATTTGACTTAAGTAAATACTTCTTATTTTCTTAATTTATTTTTCTCAAAACAGCCAAAAGCGATTGAGAAAACTGTTTTATTTCTATCACCATTTATTATAATGCCAAAACATGTGGAAGCAAAACTCACTGGTCTGATTGAATACTGTGTTTGGCTGGCAGTCCAGGAAACGAATGTCGTCAACAGCTACACCGAAGGGATATCCACTGGTCGGGTTACTCTGGACGACAATCTGCAATAGAAAAATTCAACAAATATATTATGCAAATGTGAGGCCATTATAGTGAAACCAGGTGTTCGTTTAAATAATTAACTCAAAGAAACCAACATTTGTCCACCAATTGGGTAATTATAATTGAATGTTTTGTTTTGACCTCAACAGCTTTTATACCCCATATAACCATATTGATAGTGTTATGCTCTAACCATGGACAACCAAAATTGTCCAGGACGGCCACACATTGTCAAGGAGAAGTGTGGTTGTGTTAGGAGGGTGGACAGCTTGGATCATCCAACATCTGTTGTACTTTGTGCCTTCCCAAAAGCCATGATTAGTCCAGTATTTAGTTTAATAGCATTTGCAACTCAGATAGGTCCTATAAAGGTCGAAGATTAAAGGTGTTACTAGAGAAAAACTTACAAAGAAAAGAAAGATGAGAGATAAGGACAATAAATGTTTGATTGGAAAGACAGAGCAAACCACACTTCTTGACAACTTCCACTACATTCACTGCTGGTAAACAAAATCAAATCAAGGAGAATATCAAACCTGATAGCCGGCTGGCTTCTCCCCAATGTCCACTGAGTATCTTTGCCACGTGTAGGAGCTGCTGACCGTGGTGGTGCCAAACAGTCTGGTCATCTTCAGAGTGCCCGTGTCGTTGGAGTTTTGGAGGGACACGGACAGCTCACCTTTAAATGAGAGAATTTTTCTATTTCATTTTTTATAATAATATAAATGTTTTATGCCGTCATCATCTCGATTGACACTTTATTACTTTCACAACATGTACTTCAACTCAAGACAGAGAATGGCATCAGTAGTCTAGTGGTTAGGCTGCCAGACTCGTAATCATGAGGTTGCGCGTCTGGGGGTTTGAGCCTCAGACCCGACAATGTGTCCTTGGGAAAGGCACTTTACATGGATTTTCCTCACTTTACCCTGGAGGGAATGGGTACCCAGCCATGGACAGCGAAAGGTCTTATTAGCATGTTAGTGTTTAGTGCCTATTTAAAAAAATAGCAACTTTAACTATATTCTTCCCAAGAAGTTGAGATTGTTTCAAAATGCTATCAGATATAAACACATAGGCAAAGCGGACACGTTTCGGTTAAAGAAACTTTGTACAGTTTTTTTATTCACATTCATAACGATTTAGATGAGATAGTCATGTATGCCTGTGGGCATCACCTTGGTCACTGGGAGCCATTGCTCATCATTTTGGGAAGAACCTTCAGCCGTTGGGAACGACCTCTCCGGTTTAATGAGTTAAACTCTATGAAAAAAAAGAAAAAAGAACAAGCTGGTCACTGACCTGATCCAGCCCCGTTCATGTAGTAGAAGAAGGACATGCGGCAACTTGGTCCTGTGGCATGCAGCACGGGGGACAGCAAGGTCGCGGGGTCACGGGTCACACCAGTGCCATTGACAACTGTCATATAGTGGCCTGGAACCCATCACAAACACAGACAGTGAGGGAACAGTTGGGGGTGAAAGTAAAGCAAAGCCTCCCCCATCCCCATCCTCCCACCCCCACTACTTATACATTTCTTTCTCCCAAGCAGGTTGTAGTTTACAACAGGGCTACACAAAACTGGACACATTTCGCTAAAAACAAATATAGTTAATAGCAATACTGAAGTGACACAGAAAAAGCAGACCATATCACAACCCCCAAAAAATCAAAGACCATATCACAACTCCAAAGAAATCAAAACCACTTGAAAAGTCAGAGAGTACTTTGGGTGATTTTTGGCAACTCAATAAAGTCTGTATTAGAGGCTACATTCAACGTTGTCCCCATCTGACAGAATACTCTGCCACATAAGTTTGTGTCAGACAGTTATCACATTCCTGGAAAATGTCACATGGAATTTGGTAGAGAATAAACCTTGGAATCTGAAATACCAAGCACAATCTAAATAATGCACCATACTGCTTCCCCACCCCCAGTCAAAAAAGACATATACACACACACACATAAACAGACACACATACAAATACACACATACAGGCACACACACACACACACACACACACACACACACACACACACACACACACACACACACACACGCACATCGCAGAAGCTGAAACAGTCTCTGAATCTTACCTTGACCTGGACTGTTGAAGGTCGTATCAACCAGCGGCCTTTGCCCTGAGGCAGCCTGTGTGCTCATGTTGAACCATTTGTACACACTAGTACTGGTGTCTCTCCATCCACACAGTGATGTCTCAAAGTCACATGACCCTGGGAGGGGTAAAAATAAAAATTGTACGTCCCATCAACATGAAAATGTTATTTAAGAGGTGGGACCTACGAATTTAACTTCCGTATCCAATATGACTGAGCCAGATCGGTTAAGAGCCGTGAAAACTCCACAACATGATCAGAGTTCAAGAACACCCAATCTTGGATTCAAACCAGGGATATCTGTTCTGTAGTCCAGTATGATAGCGACTGAGCTAACAGAGCGCCCTTAGGATATTACAACATTTTATGTATCATTGTCAAAAAACAATTGCTTAAGTCCTTTTTCAACTTACTCGTTTTTTAAAAGTAAAAATGCCTGTTACTTGGCTCATATCCCAAATATAGCAGAAAGTCTTTAATAGTGTAGGCCTATTTATATTTCAGTTGAAACATTTCCACTTTTGGTCAAGTCTTAACAATGATTCTGGTAAGCAGAATTTTTGTCTTTTAAACTTTCTACAAGACAAGAAAAAATGAATTGGGTAATTGTGTTATGACCGTAAAATTATAGTCTGTTTTGCAAAAAAGCAAACTATTCAAATGTGTAAAGCTTTCTCTTTCAATACCTTGCCTACTCCTTCACTTAATGGGTTTCTAGATGAGATATTCTAAACATTTGAAGGAAACCACACCCAAGACACAACTGAAAAAAGACAAATCTAAAACTAGAGAAATGTTTTACATACATGACATAACAAAGGAGAACTTAAGAACCAAAACAGTGAGCAAGACGTGCAATTAGTTGTACTAACATTGAAACCCAAACCACGGTTTCACTTTACGAAATATAGTCTAAAACGTCAGAGCTTATTAACACTTACAGTACCGAAGGTTCATATGTGTAAAACCCTCAAATATCGCACCAGTTTAGAACCCCAAAGCAGTGGTAGAATTTTTTTTTAAATTAGAAAAACGTTTGCAGCCCAAGAAACATACTTTAAAAATTCACAGAGGTTCATCAACTATTCAGCTATCATATAGAGTGATTTCCTTTATCATTTACTTCAGTGCAGTGTGTCTATTCGTTGTTTAATTATGTTTAGTGCACCTGGTTGCATTGACGACTAAAGTCACCAGGGATAGTGAGCGCATACAACGGCCTGGTGACTAAAGTCGCCGAGGGTATTGTAAGTGTTAATATTTAATATAACAATTCATGTTTCTCATTACCACAAGACCTTTGTTTCAATCAACACAAAAGTTTTTTTCCCCCTCTCGCACAAAGTGTGTCGAAATCAAACAAAGTTTGCTTTAAAACATAGTTTGAGACTCCTCAAAGGCTAGGGTTCTACCTTTTTAAATAGTTTATTCATAACTGACTAATTCTCCTCCATACACATACTTCCTTGAAACATGACAAGAATTTAATTCATGCTAAAACAGATTTCTTTCAAGGATCCCCGGATCAACCTCAGCAATTATATTTTTTAAAAGTTGACCTATGAGTTACAGGGTTAATAAATACAAAACATAATTGATTTGAGTTTTACTGACTAGACTGGCATCCATTTTCTTTTCATATTGAATTTTTAAAAATGAAAGTAATATCTGAGGCAGCGTGGTGAAATCAGGCGCTCATCATAACAATGAAATAAAAGAAACAGGCATTTTTGGGGGTATTGGACAATTTTTTTATTTTTTTGGCTCAACACCTTTTCCACCCTTTTATAAATGCATTTCTCTGTGTGGATGGTACCAAAAAAACGTCCATTAAAGGCACAAAAAATGTAAATTTTCAGTTTCCAACAACACAAAGCTTTGGAAATTGCCAAACTTTGGCGGCCATATTTTTGCTAATTTTACCTCACATACAAGGCGATCCCCACCTCCTTCAAAAGCAAATATTTTGACTTCCATTCAAGATAGCTGGGTATTTTTTTTTGCCAAATGCAAGACAAATGCATAAGCTTTAAGATAATAATTATTAATAACTCCAAATGCCCAAAAATTGACGAGCGTCTGATTCCACCTCATTGTAACAAATATATAATTTAAATTCTATTTTTATCTACATGTGTTATTACCATTCCTGTACAGCTCAAAAATATTTTCCCCTGGGACAATGAAGTATCATCATCATCATCATCATCATCATCATCATCCTCATCATCATCATCATTATCATCATCATCATCATCATCATCATCATCATCATCATCATCATCATCATCATTATCATTATCATCATCATCATCATCATTCCAAAATATTTTATAATAGGCCTACTTTCAATGTTTCACCACTACGTGCTTTGTCAGGAATATTTAAAAAGTAATATTGAATAAGAAAATCATCATCATCATCATCATCATCATCATCATCATCATCATCATCATTATCATCATCATCATCTCATCTTACCACACAAGGCTTCATCCGTCCCATCATTACAGTCCAGCACAAAGTTGCAGACAGACGTGAGAGGCAGACATTTGCCCGCATCACATGAGAAGTTGGAGCCACAAGGTCCTGGGGTTGTCTGTGTTGGGCTAGCCACAGTCGGGAGCAAGGCTGGCAAGACACCATCGGTTATTTTACACAGCAACAACAATAAAACAACAACAGCAACAACGGCAACAAAAACAATAACAACAACCATATCACAATGACAAGCATCATCAGACAGGCTTTGACGTGGAATCCACAAGGAAAATATAAGAAAGGAAGACCAAAGATGACATGGAGGCGAGCGGCACAAGCGGAAATGGAATAGGTGGGGACATCAGGGAAACAAATAGAAAAGGATGCACAGGACAGAAGCTGGAGAAATCTTGTTGGTGGCCTATGCTCCACTGGGAGTTAAAAAGGGCAAGGGAGACATCAATGACAACTACTACTACTACTACTACTACTACTACTACTACTACTACTACTACTACTACTATCGCTACTATTACTACTACTTCTACTAACATTGTTACTATTTATTGCTGCTGCTGCCAAACCTATGCCTACAATGTAAGATTGAGTTAGTGAAGTTCAGTTGCTGTTTATGATGACTCAGTAAAATAGTGGCAACAGAAATGAAACACAAGACTGCGCAAGCTGGCAAGACACAGTCATTTATTTTACAGAACACAATATTTGGGGGTGCAGACTGTTGTTTATACTGAATAAGCCCAATAATGGCCACAGAAAAGAAGTGGAAGAGAACACGTACCAAAGCACCTACTAATCACCCAAACAGTGCACCATAACAAATATCGAATATATTAAAACAGTATTACATATTTCTGCATCATAAGATTTTCTTGGAACTGAAAAGTAGAAAATCTTATCCAAAATTCATTTAAAGGCTGACTGCTGGTGGCTGCCATGTCCAAACATAACACATATAACTTGCTCCTCAGTGCCCATCCCCCCTCCCTCCCCCGAACTCATTCCTGGGCACATACGAAGATATGCGGCAGACATTTAACTTGCAGAAGAGTCAAGCACTTTATCTTTTGATTCAGGTCTAGTTCTCACCCCCTTGAAAAATAAGTTTGAACTCACAGTTGGTGCTGAACTTGCAGGAGGGTGTCATAGACACATCGTCCAGAGCAATATCCCCGGTGTAAGACCTGCCCTTCACAGCCTCGATGACCACCTAAAACAGAAATATGAGACAAATTCACAACTCTGCAACTCTCTCACAGACTAAAATGATGTTCATAACAGTATACTTAAGAAATCTTTTGTGGTTTTGAGAAACTATTTTAAAAAAACTAAAACTAAAACAACAAAACTGAAAATGTCTCAATAATTTAAGATTGTTCGTTTTAAACAAAAGTACCCTACTATATTGAAGATACAAAACAAGTATGATAAAAGACATTTTTGCTTTACCTATAGCTAAAAACTAGGGGGGGAAATGACATACACACTTGTGTTGTGACCTATGACTCTAAACGTCTGCATAAAATGAAGCACATCAACACAATAACAGTCATTTAGTACAGGCAAAGTGTAAGATAAACACACAAAAACAACACAGATGACGAGAAAATGTAGGACCTACTAGTAGTGCCCTCCAACTGCCCTCATAGTCTAAGCAATAATATGCACAATTTTTTTAACTGTTTATCGATTCTTGCTCTTGTCAGACAGTTACGGACATGGGGCCAGGATGTCAAGAGTCGGCCATAGCTTCTAAATTACGTCTCATCTGAGATGCTGCCAGAAACACGTCTCACACAAACACACACATACACACACACACACACACACACATAAACATACACTCACACATACACACACACACACACACACACACACACACACACACATATGTATATATATATATATATATAAATATATATATATATATATATCACAAACACACACACACACACATGCACACACACGCGCGCGCACACACACACACACACACACACACACACACACACATGCACTCACATACACACACACACATACACACACACACACACACACACACATACACACACAAACACAGACCTGGAAGTCCGAGTTCTCCGTAAGCGGAACAATCTGGCGCACCCACTGATTGCCTTCATTTCCAGTCCGAACGAACACCTGCTTCATGGGTCCGTTGGCCGTAGCTCTGGTATAGACATTCAAGGAGCCAACTGTCCCACCGTACATGTGGGTGTAGAAGCGAAGCTGGGGGTGGAACAAGATGAGAAAAACACATTCTGTAGGAACAACGAAAGCTGGGAGAGAAGGGATTTCATTTGTATAAAAGAACATCTTATTATTGTTATTATCATTATTTCGGCTTCACTTATTCAACACGAGTGCTCCGAACAGCCAAAGCTTCTTCCTAAAAGGACGTGCAACGCCCCTAGCAGCCAGTGTGATTGACACAGATATAAAGATGTGTTTCATCTAAACAGCTGGTAATGCAAATAAAACTTTATACAAAGCTTCTCTAAGGGAAGCTAAACTCCTTCACCTTTCTGTTTACATGTGTTCTTTGTCTTGGGTTGAAGCAAATGTTAAGAAAGTAGTTGTGTTGAGTTGTAAAAAAAAAATATATTTAATTATGTCAAACCATGGATATCAATTCCAGGGTCAATGACTTAAAAGCCCCTTTCAACATTGCAACTTCTTTTAAGAAGAGGGACCTCCAAATTTATAGTCTATCTTTGATAAGACTGAGCCAAATGGATGGAGAGCCTTAAAAACTCCTCAAAACAACCCAAGTTTAGAATGTCTGAGTTTGAACCAGGACCATCCGCTCTGTAATCCAGCATGATAGCAACTGAGCTGCACATCATAAAATACCGATTCCAGTGCGTGCTAGAAAAAAATGACTGCACTGCACTTCGTTGCATCATCTTGAGTCTCCTCAGGCATTGTATATCTATATATATATATATAATATCCTTTTCCCTTCACAGCCATTTTCTTCTTTACTACATATGCCAACTACCTCTAAAATGCATCATGATCTTAACGTAACTGACCAAGTCATTTCTATTTCAGACTTCTAATTGCTGGTATGATAAAAACACCTGTTATTTGTTTTATGTTCTCAAAATAGCAAGGGTTTGTTTTATGTACTGAACATTCAGTTTTCACTGCCACTGCAAGTCACAAAGGTGGCTAATATCACTGCTTTTTTAAAAAAAATTCTGAAAACATTTGTAAGATGACTTGAGCAAGAATCTTATGACTGTGATGAATCTTTGTACCGTACATACCTCACATGATGACCCAGAAATGGTAGTGGCGGAGAAAATAGGACTGATGAGCCGAGCCTTGTCCCCGGTCTTCCTTGGCTGAGAGGTCTCGATAAATACATAGTGACCTGCGTCATAAAAGAAACCAATGTTATTTCAGCAATTTTTACCACAATATCAATGTTCTTATGATCTGAGCAAGTAATTGATTTCTCAACAAAAAAACTTCTAAAAGTGACCCAAAAAATGTTCCCTGCTCAAAATGAACTTCTGGTTTAATTCATTGCTAAATAAGCTATAGTGGAAAAGTACATAATAGGTGCACTTGTTTTTAAAAAATGAAACAGTTTTATTTTTCTCTCCCCTGAAAAATTCTGTTTTCTTGACTTAGCATGTTTGAACAGGTTGCCGATGAAATGGACTTTTCAAATAGATATGAGATGATGACAGAGATTAATTAAAATAGAAAGCAGTAGATAGAATTGAACTAGAGAACAGGACTAGAGAACAGGAAAGACAGTGAAAGAAGAACATTTTAGAGAAGAAAATGATTCCATTGCTGTCAGTTTTCCAATTCGGGACTTATTGAATGAGACGCAAAAACCATACTTCTGGATCACGAGAGCCCCACTTTTAACTGTTAAACCTGGTAACATTCAGTAGATGATCACGCCCAGATTCTGCTAGACCCAACCTACCCTTGGTAGTCCCTCTCGTGTGATCCCTTGTGGGTCCGGTGTCGTCAGAAGTCGTAGAGCCTTGTTGGCGCGTCCAATCAAAGTCGTCAGTGTTATCCTGACTCCACTGGCCAAAGCTGTACTCAAAGTCTGTTCGCATTGGGTATGCACCTGGTGTGTAGGTGTGAGAATGGTGTGTTGGGAGGGGGGGTTATGAAAGTATGGATATGTGTGTGGGGGGGGGCGGCGTGTATGCATGTGCAGGGTATGCATGATTTGCGTGTTTGTATGTGTTTATAGGTTTGGATGTGTTTGTGTGTATGTGTGTGTTTATGAGTGCACGTAATGTGGGAGGTTGGGAAGAAGAGAGAAAAGACAACCATGTAAATCCCCAAAGTTAGGGTTGCTTTACAGCATTATGAGGTACAAATATCACTTAACATGATACAAATCCTAACAATAGAACAATATTTACCAGTATCATCATGCAGAGCTCCTTTTTAAACTGATTCTATCATAATTTACTCACCTTCACACCCCAGTGACATTGTAAAACAAATTTCTAAAAAAATGGCATTTTTTCTTTCTTTTTCAATCATTCTTTCCGTTTTAAGCACAGATAAGACCAGTACTGTGTACATATCCCCCATCAATGTAGACACAAAGACCATTCACAACAATAATAGGTCTAGGTGCAGATGAGCTTTGGCCCATCTACATGAGACTGTCGCTACACAGTAAAGTGGAAAAATACAAGGTGCTCTGATTTAGTGAAAGATGACTAGTGTTCCTATTTCAACCAACCAGGTTTTACTCAGACATTCCCTTACGTTAACGCAAATAAAACTCTCTAGTTTACATCATTTATGGTAAAGGAAAACCTTGTATGTTTTAATTACTTTATGTAATGGTATGATCCAAATCCATCCATATCCTTCCCTTCCCCCATCCCAGTCCCCCTCCTTTTTGACACTTACTGAGCATTGACCTCTATGAAAGCACTTGACTGTCACCTTCTTTTCTTATTTTGTATTTTGTCTTATTTTTGGAGAAGGCTTTGGTGCAGGAGCTTTTTTGCTTTTTATTTTTTCTTCTTTTTTAAATATTTTTTTTCTTTTTCGTTTTCCTTCTGAGAGAGGGAGGGGGAAGAGGAAGGGGGTTTATTTTAGTTGGGGTTTTTTTTGTTTCTCAGATTTGTTTGCTCCCTTTTGATATAAAGTTTCACAATAAAAACAAGACAGAAAAAGTCTCCAGCTTGACCAGATAACAAGAGTGGTGAGAGTAGTGTAAAGAACACAGAGCTTGCCGTTGAGCGGCGGTATGCGCTATACAAATACTATTTGTGAAGTGTGCTGACAAAATGAGTTACATCTCGGATTCAAGCCTTATGAAAAAAGATGCATTTTTCTGATAGGTGAAGATTTTAAAATTTATAAGAAAAACAACAAAAGGCATGTTATTGTTAAAGAATATGGCATCAAAAGAAAACCTACAAATTTGACCCTAGTGTTGATTTTCAGTCAATTTCTTCATTTGTAAATTGTGAGAAGTAACTCTGTTTGTCATCCCGCCTCACATTTAGCTTATTATATATTATTATCATTTGAGAACGGTAAAGGCTGCTTACTGCAGTTAGCTTCGTCACTGCCATCTCCACAATCATCAGAAAAGTCGCACACTTTGACGGCGTCCACGCATGACTTTCTGGTACAGGTGAACTGGTTGGAGGCACAGCTTTTTTGGACCACTGAAACACGCAGATTATATAAAAATGAAATATAATATATTATATTATTATATATAATAAAAATAGTAATTAGGAATGTGATGATACTGATGATGATGATGATGATATTTACATCTTTTGTCTTTAAATCAAGCAACATTCTCCCTACCTACTCTGCTTTTTAAACAATGATGATGATGATGATGACGATGATGATGTCGATGAGTCTAATCTAATCATTACTTTTTAAAATATTCCTGATGAAGCCATACAGCGAAACGTTGGATGCATTTATATGATGTATTTTGGAAATCCAAGATCTACTTACGTCTCAACCCTTTTTATTCTCTGTTTACAATGATGATCATGATGATGATGAGGATGATGATAAAGGCAAAAGTAATGATACTAATAAGGCATTATGAAATTGACCCCTACAATAATGATGATGATGGCCAGGATAACGATAATAATGATCATAATGTTTATAACAACAATACTAATTGCATTGCTGATAATAATACAATACTTTTGATTTTATACACAGCAAAGACTGAATCTTGATTAAGTATTGTAAAGCAATAAAACTTACCTGGGTAATTGCAATGAATAAATGAAACGTCATCAATGGCAATATCCCCGAGTACACTGTACGATCTTGTGGCTCGGAACAGAATCTGGACGGGAATAAACACAACATAATAGCAATTATGAAAGAGAGTGAAAATAAACTAGAGGCAACAGAAATGTGGATTCTTAGGAAACGGTTGAGAATTTCATGGAAGGAAAAGAAAACCAAATAAGATTATGCTGAAAGAAAATATTGTGGGATGGTCACGAATAAAAGCAACTGAGGAGAGACAAAGGCAGTTCCTTGGACACTTTGGCCCTCACTCGAAAAAACAGTAGGGAAAAGAGGCAGAGTTAAACCAAGAATAATTTAGTAAGAGAACTTAAACAGATAGGTGATGGGAAAAGACCAGGATAATATGGGTTTTTTTAAAGAGCAATGAGAGACAAATCATCTGAATGGAAATAAATATCTTCAGCATCTAAAACAGGCAGAACAATAGTGAAACGATAATGTTCAAGTTATTATATCAATAACCATATTATTATTTTGAAGCAATATCAAAATATATCCTAATGATGATTGTAAAGCTGCTATAGAAGGAAAGAGTAAACAAAAAACCTTCATCTAAAAAAAAGTCAGTGACTGTTAAAACATAAGATAAGATAAGAACCAGTGTAGAAGTAAAATGCTACATTACTGACACACCACACCTCAAACGTTTTTCTAAATTCATTACTGAATTAACTAAATGCACATGTTCTAGACACTTCAATGAATGGGAAAAAAGTCAAAGTAAGCACAGAAATCTCAAGACAAGACAAAATAAAAGCTAGTATAAACATATAAAACTGCAACAGTACCAACACATTCTTAGAGGGTTTTACGGCGCTCGCAACTGCATAAGGTCATATGAGCGCAACCCAACACATTCTCCTCAAATGTTTTTCTCAAGTCATCAATAATTCAACACTTGAAACAATCAAAGTAAGGGTAGAAACCCTGAGATACAAAACCACATACCCTGAACGGCACTGCAACACGTCCCAAGTCCACAAGGCCTTTCTGCCACTTGTTGCCCTGGTTCCCAGTTTTGTCAAACAAGACTGTGTCTTCCTGAGACTCTCTTATCACAACCATCAGACGACCGATGCCTGAGGAAAAATAGGTGAAGGGCATGCAAACAGACACATTTTGATTGTTAGTCCTTCTATTTCTAAATACTCTTCCTATTGGGATGTGCTTGTGGTTATCAATTTACAGCATTATTGATATTATTATTATTGTTATTATTATTATTGTTATTATTATTATTACTATCATTATTATTTTTATTATTTTCGTTATTATCCAAACAGCGCTGATAACAGTAAGAGAAAATGTTCAACTAACTACCAAATAGTAATTGTTTGTTTGAGTAATGAGAAGCACAGTGACACAAAAAAACAATAATGTTTATTTAGTGTAGGGAACAAGAAAAAGAAACATCCAGAAAAAATGGATGGAAAGAACAGAGAAGTAGGACCTGCCTCTGGTGCTATCCAGTCACCCACATAATTCTACCAACAACGAAGACTCACCAGAGCCGTACATATGGTAGAAGAACTGCATCTGGCATGAGGCTGGGGATGGGCCAAACTGAAACAGTGTCTTGAGTTCTGCCATACTGTTACGAGACCCGATGGAAGCATCCACGTATAGATAGTAACCTGGGGACATAGTAAAACACACACACATATATATATACATAGTATGTATATATACATGTATTTAAATATATTATAGCCACTTGATACGGAACAGCATGAACAAAAAATTGACACTGAAAAAAAAACATGTGTATTGGGAAAATCAATCATGACACATTAAAGCTGGTGAGAAACAAAATAATGTGTTCTGTCACTGATTTAAATTTTGGACAAAGTGGTCGAATCCCGTAGATCTGCTGGTAATGCATTCTACAGGTTATGTTTTATGTCTCTTTTGGCCAGCTAAAAACATTTTTAAAATGAGATTTGCACAATCGATCATAACATAATCAAAATGTGTGTAAAGAGCCTGAAGCACTGTTTGCAGACCTTGTGGATTATTGTTGTGGTCGTAGGTTGGGCCTGTGTTGGCAGTGGCCGTCTGGTTCTTGCCTCTCTGCCACTGGAAGTCTCCTGTACTGGTGTCCACCCATTGGCACCAGTCATACTGGAAGTCACAGTCACCTGGTGAGAATAATAAAAACAAGATTAATCTTCATTACCCAGGCTCTGGTATATTGGTTTGGTGTTTCACACACATACATGCACACACACATACAAACACTCACACACACACACACACACACACACACACACACACACACACACACACACACATATGCATTCATATCCTCTCTCACCTAATCACTCTTCCACACTTATATATACATGCACATCTCAAATATGCTTACACTCATAAACAGACCCAGTTATGATATAAATGAACAATAATATACAGTTGACAAAAATAATCATGCTTTCTCTACTTACCACAAACTGTTTCATCTCTGAATGTGGAAGGGCAGTCTCGTTTGAAGTCACAAACTTGTGATGAAGGAATCATTGTGTTGTGGGCATCTCCACAGCTAAACTGCTTGTTCTGTCCTGTAAAAGGCCACATGAGGAGGAGTGAAATAGTGCCGTAGATCATAAATAATTTATCTATAGAGGCACCGGCCATGCATGTAGGGGTGCTGTTTCAGCCAAAAATGTGCCATAACGACTCGGATATCACAAAAGTACCGGTAAGACTCACGCCCAGTGCAAATTGACCCATTCCTTAAATCATGGCCTATGAAGAGAAAAAAAAACAGTGTAAATCCACCAACAAAGTTCTAAGCTATAAAAAAAAAGAAGTATTATCAATCGAGTCAGGGAAAAAACCAGCTCAAGAAATGTTTTGGGACACATTCAAAGACAGGATTAATGATTTAGACCAGAATTATAGCTTGTTGACAATATAATCCAGGACCAAAGTTGCCAAAAAAATCAATTCTCATCAGGGGGGAATAGGGGCCTATACAGCTTTGCAGTGAGACACAGACAAATTTATAACATATTGGCACACTTCCTTTATAGTGTTTACCAAGATGATACTTATAACTCCATATGCTCAAAAATAACAAACACAAAAAAGAGGAGCAATAATTACAATGGAAATTTGATAAGAAAGGAGGAGGAGTAAACCATACCAGAACATGCGCCAACCACCCATTCTTTAATTCTTTATTTGGGTCAACAAAGGCACACCAAGTATTGATGCAATAACAATAATTTAGTACAAGAACAAATAAGACAGACAGACAGACAGACAGACAGACAGACAGACAGACAGACAGACAGACAGACAGACAGACAGACAGACAAAAAATGAAGGAAATGAGCAGTAGTAGAACCAACCAGTGTTGCCCTCTAACCACCTGCTTATCTACCTGTGACTCAGGTCCATAATGCCTCATATCTGGACTAGTAGGAGAGAATTCTCAAGAATAATAGAAATCCAAGAATTCCCTGAACAGTAGATGGAACACCTACCTGCTAGACAGGAATCATCCGTCAGCTGGAAGTCATCTAGAGCAATGTCGCTTGTGTAGCCATTCCCGATAGTCCCAATAACAGAGATCTGATGAGTAGAAAAAACATGAGAGAGGGACAGGCATACTTTTCTGGGTATCTTATCATTAACTCTTTTCCAAACTAACCCTTAAGAATCAGTCACCGCTCGCATTGGTCTTTGATGTGATGCCAAGGAAATTATGCCATTTTGGGTTTGTGCTTACAGGACCCGTTATTATATAACGTTTCGCTGGGTGATTCACCCAAGTGTGTGCGTATGGGTCTGCAGGCTTGGGGGCATACAGGCATGCATGAAGGTGTACAGGGGATTAAATGGAAACGTCATATTTTAGTGATTTTGAGAAAGCATAGCTTTAAAGTTTTCAACTTCATGCGTTTAACAAGAATGCAAAATTTTCTTTGTTCATCTTTACATGGACCCTGCTGTTTTCTTCCTTGTAAAATTTTATGTTACCTTAAACTGAAGTGTCATGAAGCCCAACAGGGCATAATCAAAAATAATTCTTTGAAATGTGACTGCCGTTTTCTTTTTCCTGTAGTTTTCATACAAGGTTGTATATTGTTTCTTGGCAACTTATTCATCCAAGACCTAATATTCTGCTCTCAGCTGACAGAATGCCTTTTTTAAAATTCACAGCACTTTCGAGATAAAGAGTTTTTTTGTCAGCGTAACCATTTAAAAATAGCGTTCTTCCAAATTTTGAATTCTGATTTATTCAAAAAGTAGTTGCCTTTTCATTTAGATTTTTTCACACAAGTAAGGTAACTGATCAGGCCTTCGATTTAGCGAACAAAAAATAGGTTTAAAATTTGGCACCAAATTGATAAATTGATTTTGTCAGCTTATGGCAGTACAGGTAACACACTCCATGGAACATTACAACAACTGCAGCAAAACTGCGCTTATAACTAAATGATATTGAACAGAAGGGCAAGAGCCTGGCTGTTGTTGGATCGATAACAACAACAACAACAACAACAACAACAACAACAGCATCTGCTATTTGTGGAAAAGAGGACTATGCAAAAATGATCTCCTAGTTCTTCCTCTATGGATAAGAGTAATAATCTCAGCACTGAACACTCACAATAAAAGTGTCATCTGGGAGTGAAATGTTGACCAGGGCTTGCTTCCATGTAGATCCTTGTGGGCCAGACAAAGAGAACAGGAGCTTGGAATGACCATCGACGATTGTCTGTGAATAGAATAATGTAAGACTTAGATATATAGACTTGTTCCTGGTTGAATATTGTTGAGATTTAACTCTTTGACTTTGAGCCCTGACCTCCTGGGAATACCGTGCCTCTCTGCCTGAGCTCCAAAGCAATATATTACTAACTTTAATATGATCGTCAAAATCACATTCCATATACCACTCAGGGTATAGTAAAACATCCTCATCATTACCACCATCTAATTCAGAGAGATCTTCATATTAATCAATAATGTCTTCTGTAGTAAACGCTGTTTTTCGTAGCGTTTTGTCTCAGGTGGACCGGGTTGGAGATGAGGTCTCAATCCCCGGTGCACCAGTGGCTAGGCACACGGACAGTTTTAAACACCACCAGTGCACCAGTGGCTAGGCACACGGACAGTTTTAAACACCACCAGTGTACCAGAGACAAGGGCTCAAATGGTTAAAGCAGAAACAAAGCGTGCCTTGTTCTTCTGTCCTCGTAACCCATTTAAGTATAATGATCTGTAAGAAGGCTATCATGGAGTGGGAGGTTGGAGGCGCCACTGTTCAGTCCCTCTTTTCTTTCTTTCTGTTGTTTATGCCTATCTTCTTGCTTTTTCCAAGAGAAAATGATCATTGTTATCTTTATATTTTTTTCGCTCAAACTAAAAAAGGCTATTTTTGTACTGCAAAAACTTGAGGTTCATGTTCAAATAAATGGAAAATAAATTATGTTTCTTTTTCCAACTTAGTCAAACGGGACATAGAATATTTACAATCAGATCCTTATCCTTTTTTCGTTTAAAGTAAACAACGTGACATGCATTTTTTTAAATGCCATTTGCCATTACCTTTATGGTAACATTGAGAGAGCCGATGTTGTCCCCGTACATGTGGTACCAGAAGGAGAAACAGAAGAAGTCGCTCTGAGACACCACGGCAATCTCCTGTGAGTCCAGTTCGGCTATGTCTCCTGGCTGGCTGGGCTGGCTAGACTCCAGGTAGATGTACTGGCCTGATCGCAACAGTAAGTGACATCAGTCTTAGTTTAAGGAAGAGTTTAATGGCACTTACAACAGAATTAGGTCAAATTTCTGCTAAAGATTAGAGGTGTTAGAGTGACATACAAAGGAAAGAAGGAGATTTCAAGAGCTGTTACTAGAGAGTAACATAATATAAAGAAAGAGAGGAGATACAATGATGACATTTTCGACAGAAATGTAGAAGCAAATCACACCAAAACACCCAGCAACAAGCCACCACAAGACTCAGTGGACACCACAAGCAAAAGCTGAGTTTGTTGGAAAAGTTACACAATTCCGAGTTAAAGAAGAGCATGTCGTGTACACATTAAAGTCCATTATATTACAGTTTGTAGTAATAATATGTTTCAAGAGTATACACTGAGATCAAAGTTGGACAAACTAATTGAAAACAAAAAAGCTATCAGCCTTTAGGTAAAAATTACATTAAAATTTACTGGATATACATACACTATTCCATTTAAATAGTCTTGACTTACTACTTGTTGGGATGTTTCATTTAAAAAAAGAGATAACGCAACGCTGACTCAACTCTTCATCTCCAAGGGAGGTAAACCCACTACACCGGTTCCCTTTTTTTTGGTCCTAAATCTAAAAATGACAAAGACATCATAAAATGGGTCATTAAATCAAAACAAGTGAACCTGTTTCGATAGCTCTTCATCTAATGAATGAACTCCCAGTAAAAGAGTCATTTTCATGTCGAAGTCTCAGTAAAGGTATGTGAGCGGCTCGCCAGAGATAAAGAGTTAAGCAACATCTGACCTGCAATACTGTTGAGAGTGTGATCCTGTGTGGGTCCCGTCCGGGAAGAAGGAGTGGGGCCAGAGTTGAGCTGCCAGTCCAGGTCATCCTTTACATTCTGAGTCCAGGAACACAGGTTCTGCTCAAAGTCGCAGCTGACCAGATTGATGCAAGGGCTGTTCTTGAGCTGTTAGACAAGATGGACATTTACATGTAGACCTAGTTTACTTACACATTCACTTTCTTCTGTTTCACAAAAGAAAATTTTTTCTCTGCAGATGCATTGGTCATTGTCAGATTGTCACACTTACAAACAAACTATTATTATTCTGATAATGATTATGATGTTGACGATGAATATTATTGTTATTATTATTATCATTATTATTATTATCACAAACACAGTTAGTCTGGATATGAAAGAAAAAGAGATAGAGAGAGAGAGAGAGAGAGACAAAGAGAGAGAGAGAGAGTGTGTGTGTGTTTGTGAGTGTGTGTGTGTGTGTGTGTGTGTGTGTGTATGTGTGTGTGTGTGTTTGTGTGTGTGTGTGTGTGTGTGTGTGTGTGCCTGCGGGTGAAACACTTACGGTAAAATCATCCACAGCAATATCTCCAGTGTAGCTCCCACCAACAGAGCCCTCCAACACAATCTGTGAGAACAGTCAAGAAATTGGTCAACAAACCTAAAGAACAGCCAGGAAAGAGAAAGTGTCTAAAATGTTTAGTTTGAGACTTTTGTAAGTAAATGTCTGAAGATCAAACATTGACCCCCCCCCCCCCCCCCCCCCACGGGCAGTGCCACTGACTGTAGTGTCTTTAGAGGCCATTCCCAAAGGGAGGACATTTCTCGTTTATGCACCGTAGAATTGTAAATGGGCTGATTCATCATGTCACGCTCATAACTGTGCCTGATGTACAACAGGGAACTGCTGCTTTTTCTTTCCTAATCCTTACCATTGTCATTTTCCTCTACTTCTTCTGTATGTTTGTCACACTCTTGTGACCTGCTTTTCCCGGGGTGCCTTAATAGTCGAAGCAGACTTTGTGCTGTTGAAGCTAGAGAGGTGAGCAGAGTAAGTATGATTCCCTGTAAAGACTTCTCTTGACACCCACCCCTTGGTGCTCATATGACCTTGTGCAATTGCGAGTGCTGTAAAACTCTCTACTTAACTTAAACTAAAACATTGAAGGGAGCCCCCGTGTACATTAGTCACGACTCTTTTTATCACACTATAGACCTCTAAGTCCATCAGCTTCCATTGTGCAGTGGTTACGCTCCTCACCTTTGCACGAAGAAAATATGAGTTCAATTCTCAAGTGGTGTGATTCTTTAACCCTTTGCAGTCACACAGCCAGCAGTATAAGATACCCCATCTGGTCATCTAGCCAGGAGAGCGACTGCAACCGACTTCTCGGGCCTGGCGCAAAAGTGTACCAGGTGACCGGAACGGATAATTTTCACCAGAGCATTATTGCGCCAAGTGACTGCAAAGTGTTATTCAAGTATTTCCATTATGAAAATTGCAATGACAAAAAAAACCCAACAAACAGACCTGGTAAGGTGTGAGAGACTGGATATCTATCCTGTTGAGGAGCCACTGGTCACTGAAGTTGCCACTCTTGACATCCAAAGACTGGTCAGCCCCGCGGTGGTTGCGGATGTAAGTTGCCAGAGTTCCCACTGTCTTGCCATACATGTGGTACCAGTACTGCAGACACGCCCCGTTGGTAGGGGGGTACGTGGGACTGATGATACGTGCAATGTCCCCGGACTTTCTTGGCACCGATGTTTCAATGTAGATGTAGTGCCCTGGAAAAATGGCGTGATGATGATATTAATATGGCGTGATGATAATAGTAATAATAATAGTAATAATAATGGTATTAACAAAAATGACAACAATAACATTTATGATGATATACTGCTGCTGCTGCTTTGTTTGTGCTACCACCACTGCTGCTGCTGCTAATGCTGTTGCAGGAGCTGCTGCTTCATAATGGTTTTAACAATAATGATATAAGTCATGATAACAATACTACTACTACTACTACTACTACTACTACTACTACTACTACTACTACTACTACTTATTATAATAATAATAACAATGATATCAATGATGATGATAATTATATTGATAACGACATACCTGAGGCTGTACCGTACGTGTGGTCACTGGAGGGTCCTGTGTAGGAAGAGTTAGTGCTGCCCAGGTGCCGCGTCCAGTCAAAGTCATCGTACAGGTCCTGGTCGAAGCCACAGAGGCCGTCGTCCTCAAAGTCACACACGGCTGCAAAGTAGACACAAAATTAAGGTCCAGGCAAAAAGAGGGTAAATAAAACAAATAAATAAGTCAAACGTAATTGACCTGCGTTGAGAAATTTGGGTTACAGAGACAAGAATGCAAACATAATTGCACAATCAAATGCACAAATATACATTAAATAGAATACCAAACAGACTATACACCAATACAGAAAATTTACAAACTTTCCTATCAAACATGATCTATCATATTTTTCTCTCCTCATTCTTTTCTTTGTAAGTTACTCTCTATTAACACCCCTAACCTGAGGTAGTTATGAGACCAATTTTTGTATTAAGTGGAGTAAAACCAAAGCAGTACAAGTACCTGTGGGAGGACATTTCCCATCGTAGACTTTGACGTCATCCAAAGCTATATCTCCTTGGTAGCTCACACCGGCCAAACCCTCAAACACAATCTGAGGAGACAGAGAGTCCAACATTAGCAGATTGATAGTTGTAAAAAGTATAGAGCATGCGGGAGGACTTCCGTAACGAGCGACCACTATGAATGAGACAGATTCAGTAGAATAGAGGGCTAGGGTTAGGGTTAAGTTTAGGCTTAGGGTTAGGGCTAGGGTTAGGGTTAGGGTTAGATCTCTTCTTTTTTGTGTTTGTTGGGGTGGTCGTTAGTTACGGAAGTCCTTTCGAGCATGCTGTTGAGAGTAGATATATGCAATTATTTGTATTACTATTGTTACTATTATTATTATTATTATTATTATTATTATTATTATTATTATTATTATTATTATTATTATCATATTATCATTATTATCATTATTGTCATTATTATCATTAATTTAAAGGAGAGTTTGAGTTGTTTGTTTGAGTAAAGAGAAGCATATTGACTCGATAACAGTTATTTTAACACACATACAATATGAGCGGGAGTTGAGAGGAGACAGGGTCCAGTAAGGTTACCAGCCAAAGAGGACAGTTGGAGTTGTAAATACATTATAAATTTCTTTATGCCACACTTAACCAGTCGTCGCTTTTGGCAGGGTTTCTTTTGGCTTATGCAGGGAAAGAATAAGACAGATCACTTTTCATCTTGAAATGTGAGGTCATTTTGGACAAGTTTAACTAGTCACTTTTAAGCACAAGGGGGCTATCCCGAAAAATGCTGTTTTGAGAAAATTGAAGGTCAAGTTTTTGGACCCTTGTTCAGTTTCTTTAAAAGGCAAGGAGAGTTTTCTCTATTATAACCAAACAAATATACACACCAATGAAAGCAAACTTCTCCTATAGTTAGCGCAATGCCCACTTTTGTTTTTTTTAGTTTTAGTAAGCTTTACGGGACTTGCAACACAATAAGGTCATATGTGGTGTAGGTCAAGATTTCTGGAAACCTGCAAAATCTGGGTTAGCCCGCTTGTCCTTAAAAGCGACCAACTGTACATTTACCTTGACATAATCTGAATGAGTTCCCAGTTCGACAAACGCCTGTAGCCAGCTCAAGCCCTGCTCCCCCTGTTTTGTCCAGATGGCTGGTCCGCGTCCTTTCGAGCCGCTGAGGTAGACATTGAGCCTGTTAATGTGCACGCCATGCATGTGGTACCAGAAGGAGAGGCAGCGAGAGACGGGGTTCAGGAACTGAGGGCTGATCAGTCGGGCCGAGTCGTTGGCGGCTTTCCCACTAACGTCGATGTGGATGTAGTGGCCTAAACACAGAGCAGAGTTGGTTTTAGTTTCAATTTAGTAAGAGTTTCATGGCACTTGCGACACAAATAGGTCATATTAGTGCCCAAGATTAGACGTGTGTCTTAAGAGAAACATACAAAGAAAAGAAGGAGGAAACATAAGGAAAATAGATGTTTGATGGGAGATAGGAAAGAAGGAGCAAACAGAGTGCCCACAAATCATGCACTGACGTTGGTGAAAGTTCTAAAGAAATAGATTAAGTTCTAAGAATAAAACAAAACTGAAGACATTTAGAACTACAAAATGAAATTTGGAGCACAAGAAATACATGAAGGGATTGCAAGTTACCTTTCCCGTTATCCAAGGTGTGATCAGACAAGGGTCCAGTGTTGAAGGAATCTATTCTTCCTGAAGTCCAGGTCCAGTCAAAGTCATCCTGTTTGTCTTGTTTCCAGCTACAGGTGTGCAGAGACCCACGCACCTCAAAGTCACATGACAGGACTGTCAGTAAAGCTAGGAATATATAATAATAATGATTATAATAATTTGCGTACATGATAACCTTTAACATCCAAGGAGGAAGAGAAGTTATAGACCTTGTTAGCTACAGTTACATTGTTATTTTGTTTGGCTATTTGATTGAAGAGCAGGAATCCTCACAGCCTGAAAAGTTCTGTTATTTTGTCCTCTACTTCTCCCTCTCTCCTTCCTTCTCAAAGTCATATAACAGGATTGTCAGTAAAGCTGGAGATACATAAAGAGAACGTGTTTATTTTGATTATTTGTTTGGTTGAAGAACAGGAACCCTCACAATTCAGAAAGTCCATATCTGTTACTCCCCCCCCCCCCCTTTTTTTTTTTTTTTCTCTCTCTCTTTCTCTCTCCCCCCCCCCCCCTTTTTTTTTTGCTCTCCCTTCTCTTAAATAGTCCACCTCAAAATAGTCATGCTCTTGATGATTTCTATTACTTGTTGGTTCATGATGATACCTTGTGGAAAGAAAGAGAAAACAACAGAAGAAATGATGTTATAAGGCTAAAAGTAAAGCCCTCATATCAAATGTGATTGACCTAGTACGCAGACCTAGGGTTACCGTGGGAGTCACAGTGTGGCTGAGTTGGGGCTGTGTCTTACAGTTTTAGTTATTTTTCGTAGAGGTTTTATGGCGCTTGCAAGTGCATAAGGTCATATGAGCGCCAAAGGTCTTACAGGAGCATAAAGCAGCAGGCTGTGATTATCCTGATGTGTAACGATATAAAGAAGATAACAGCTACAAAACACGCTCACCTGGCAGAGTCGGGGTAGGAAGGGGAGGTGCTGTGGTCTGACTCTGGCAGACTCCCGCCAAAAGCTGAACATCATCAACGACAACAGTCACTGTGCCCACAAGGGGCCGTGAGGCTTCGAACGCTAGGTAGAACGGAACAGCTGACTTGATATCCAGTTCTGTTGTTTTCCACTGCAAGGATTTGTCTTGTCCATTGGCGTTGGTCATCTGTAACAGCGTTACGTTCTTGGCAGGAGTGTCTAGGTACACATGGAGGGCACCTGCAGGTATCAATGGATAATAATGATGATAACAGTTTGTCCGTTAATGTCTGATGATGACCATAATTTAGATATCCGTAACTGACCATGGATTCTTCATCTTCTTTACATAAAGTTATCAGCATTTCCCTCACTCCATAAAGTATACAAATAAAAAATGAGTTGAAAACCTCTAGAACACTATAATAGTCACAATGTTTCAGGAACCAGGACTTTTTATCTCAGTGTGATCAAGTAAACAAGGAGAGACAATTAACAACTTTTTAAAAAGAAGTTGTTTTTTCCTCAAAACAGGTCTCTCTTACTGGACGTTCATTCATCAGATGAAGATTTATCAAAGTTGGTTCACATGTTTTGATTTAATGACCCAATTAGTGACGTTTTTATCATTTTTACATTTAGTACCGAAAAAGGACCCCGCGTAATGGGTTAAACCCTTCAGAGATAAAGAGTTAAGTAACAATTACAGAAATTAGGATGTGAAGAAAGGAAAATAATACTTGGACAATCTATTTCCTCCATATCTACCACCCAAGCAAAGCTGTATTATGCATACTGTTTTAGTCATCATCGATATCGATGGGCAGCCAAAAGATAAGAATTTGTGCTCACCATCTCCATAAATGCTGTAGGCAAAGCGCAGACATTTGCCGAGGGTATCTGGGCTCAACTCACTGACCAGCACAGCATTTGCCATGGCCGGAGAAGATGAGGGGATGGTGGTGAGGGCGTAGGAACCTGGGGACAAAAGCACAACAACATCAGCAGCTGGCTTCAGGAACGCCAAGAAACCAAAATGTGGAAACTAAGACAACCCCCCCCCCCCAAGAAAAAAAGAAAAAAAAAGCATAGTGAAAAGACAATCTATCTTAAGGGATGTCCAGAATCATTTTTTTAAACATCCCCAAATAAAAAAAATAAAAAATAAATAAATAGTTTTTTGATAATGAAGAAAAGGAAACAAATTAAAAACAACCCCCACACCTAAGTGCATCAGAGCAGGGAAAGGAGTGGCAAACCATGATCTCCATGGTCAATTTCAACATTTGAAGAAGAAGCTGAGAAAAGACAAGATCTGAGAAAAGTATTCTAGATAAACAGATCATAAAGTGTACTTTTTATTTTTGGCATAATTTTCATTCCAGAAGGGATCAGAGTAATTTATTTATCGTCCGGCAAGTTGTTCAACTGTCTTAAGCCCAGAAAGCAAAATTTTTCAGGAGAGAGAAAAAAACTGTTGGATTTTTTTAACAAGTGTACCCATTTTATGTATATTTTTCTTCTTTTTTAAGCTTTTAGAATTTTAATTCCGACAAAATATTGTTAGAGCATAAAGAAAGTGCAATAAAACTTTTTAATTTAAAATGTGAGGCTCAGTTCATCTGAACAGCCAGCCAATATTACGCACTTGCCTAACAGAACATAAAAAGTAAAGTTGTTCCCACATCCGATCAGGACATTGGGGATTGCCTTTTTTTTATTTTGTAGAGGTTTTACGGCGCTTCCAACTGCATAAGGTCTTGTTAGTGGGACAACTTCCTGGGCCTTTGGCATGTTGTGGTAGGGTGGCCAATTCCTTTCCAGGCCGCCTGTACTTCCCCAACTCCAAATCAAGTGCCCATTACTGCTGGGTGGGCAGGAGGGGGCGTAAAAAATGCGTGTCCGAACCGAGGCTCGAACCCGGACTTTCCGCTTCAGAGACGAGCGCACTAACCACTCCCCCACCGCACCCTCTTAACAGAACATACATGATACATACCACTAATTGAACTGGTTGTGTGGTCCACGGCAGGCGCAGAGCTTGAGTATCGGCCATCCTGAGGGGAACTCCGGATCCAGTCGTAGTTATCGTCCTTGCGGTTCCGGAAAGTGCAGAAACCATTCTCAAAGTCACAGCTCACAGGGTCTGGGCAGACGTGAGGCAGGATCTGGATATCGTCCACTGCAATGTCGCTAGAGCTGTTCGATCCAACGATGCCTTCAAAGATGAGCTGAGAAGCAAGAAGAGAGTGTCTTAAATTAGCATCTATCCTGTTCTCGCTTTTTAAGACTAAACTTTACCCAACCCTTTTACTCATCATAGTAAATATAAATCTGAGATTAAATACAGCATTTTTTTAAAAATTAAGTAGATAATTCTAAAATATTCAAAGGTATTAAGTTTTTTTATTAATCAAAACGTTTTGTCATTAATATAGATAGTCTTTTAATCAGTAAGATCAAGGCTTTTCATTGATTAATTATTAATGTGGCATCCAAAGGATAGAGACAGAAGAAAATATCAGTGTTCCTTATTATCCCAAAGTAAGTTTAGTTTTTGTATAAGTTTTAGAACTTATGCAGCTGAGAGCATCGTAAAACCTCTCCTAAAAAAACTTAACTTTTAGAAAAAGGCAAGCACATTGACATGATAGTTGTCATTTACTGCTGTGAAGAGCAACATAGACAGAAAGAAAGACGGAAATGAAAGAGAAACATTGAAAAAGTAGAAGCTACCAGGAACATGGTACAACATATCCTATGGAAGAACAGTAAACAAAGCAGAATCCACCAGATACACCCACTCTTCAACCACCCATTTTGTGGAATAACGGTACCTGATATGGCATGACAAAACTGACAGGATAGTATGGAAGCAGGACCCTAACAACCCACTCTACGAAATAACAGTACCTGATATGGCATATGGAAAGATAAAACTGACAGGATAGTATAGAAGCAGGACCCCCCAACAACCCACACTGCAAAATAAGAGTACCTGATATGGCATATGGAAAGATAAAACTGACAGGATAGTATAGAAGCAGGACCCCCAACAACCCACACTGCAAAATAACAGTGCCTGATATGGCATATGGAAAGATAAAACTGACAGGATAGTATGGAAGCAGGACCCCCAACAACCCACACTGCGAAATAACGGTACCTGAAATGGCATGACAAAATCGACAGGATAGTATGGAAGCAGGACCCCCTACAACTCACACTGCGAAATAACGGTACCTGATACGGCGTGTCTTTGCTGATGGTAGCCTGTGTGAGCAGCCAAGTGTTTCCCTGATCACCGTGCTTGGAGATGATGCGAGGTCCCAGCTCTGTCTGCCCCACATTGTGCACGTAGACCAGCAGGTAGCCCATGGCAGAGCCGTGCATGTAGTAGTAGAACTGCAGGCACTGTTTCCCTCCACCGGGATACACAGGGGAGATGAGACGAGCCCGGTCCCCGGCCTTTCTGGGTTTGGCCGCCTCGATGTACACGTAGTGCCCTGAGCACATTTTCCAAATATATTTGTATTGTTTATAAAGTGAGGGAAAGGCTGACAACTTTATGGAGAGAAGATGAAGAATTCATGGATAGTTACTGTTATCTATATTATGGTCATCATCAGACAATGACGGACAAATGGTTATCAACGTAATTCATTTTTACTGACAAACAGTAGAAATGTTAGCACTGACATGATAATATGTATATATTATTCATATGTTTATCTGTCTGATATAGTAGAAAATCTGTCCACACTGATGTGTAGCTACTGATATATTTGTCCGTCCCATACAGCAGAAATGTCTGTACAGATATTAATCTACATAGAAAATACAGTAGGCTACAAATGTCTGCATTGACATTTATCTGTAAATAAAGAGGAAACAGTGCAAATGCCGGAACCAATATCAACTAATTATCTACATAGAAGAAACAACAGAATTGTCAACATTGATATCATATATAAACATGTCTCCCTCATATAGAAGAAACAGTGGAAATGCCAACAATGATATTTATCAACGTTTTATTTTTTTCTAGCCTCACACAGAAGAAAAGAAATGTGTTGACGGGGGCTTAAAATATCTGATCAACAAATGCATTTACAGAAGAAAAGTTCAAGTTAAAATGTTGACACTGGTATTTATCTGTCTGTCTATCTGTCCTTCTGTCCGTCCGTCTGTTTCTTCGTCTGTCTGTCTGCAAGTGGCAAGTGTGAGTCTCTGACCTTGAGCAGATCCCAAAGAGTGGTCAATGACGGGACCTGTACCAACACGTTGTGTGGCCTTGCTAGTTCGGATCCAGTCAAAGTTGTCATCTTGCACTTGCTCGTAGCCACAGAAGCCATCCTCAAAGTCACACACGGCTGGGGACACAGGTACAAGACAGGTCAACAATGGAGTATTGTTGTTTCAGTTAACACTTTGCAGTCACACAGCCAGCTGTACAAAATACCACATCTGGTCACAAAGCCAGGAGAGTGACTGCAATGGACTTCTCAGGCCGACCAGAATGGATCATTTCCACTGGCACATTATTGCGCTAAGTGACCGCGAAGTGTTAAGAAAAGGGAAGAACATCCACTTAGAGCAGAGGAAAAACAAGACTGATAAACAGAGGCAAAAGAGGGAACGAAAAGAAGAAAGCCCTTACAGTAACACCAGCTAACCATCTGCAATTTAGTGGGAGAAATGGAACAAAAAAAGAACAGGCCACATTTTTGGTAAACTAGTGTGGTAGGACAAAAGGAAAAAGGAAAGTACAGACCACTTCATAGCTTCACAAAGACAGAAGGAGAAGAAAAATTGAAAAAGAAGAGTTTCAAATTGTCCAATGACTCCGAGAAAATGAGTAATATTAATAATAACACACATACACACACCATGTTGAGTGTGCTTGACCTAGAAGTGTGCTGTTTGGGGTCGACACATGGATCACACTGAAGTTGATGCTTATGGCTTATATGAACAGGAAACAGCTTGTTGTGTTTTTAATAAGACACAAAGACATGGGGGGAGGAGGAGGGGGGTTAAACTTTACTCTATGCACATCAGCACTACAAGTCACCTTTGTGTGGACAAGCCTTAGCCTCAAACCTAAGATCATCAACAGCAATATCTCCAGAGTAGCCGGTGCCCCGCTGAGCCTGAAGGTAGAGCTGAAACACAACCACGAAACATGGATCAGGAGAAAAAGAAAAGGAGCAGAAAACAAATCCAGTAAAGTTTATAGTTCATTCAATTTTCTTTGTAGGATATCATCGTCATCATCATCCTCATCATCATTATCCTCACCATCATCATCATCATCATCATCATCATCATCACCATCATCATCAAATTCTAAACAATTCTCCTTTTTCCTGTTGTGTTCTTCTTGCAGCATATCAAATACTACCATGATAACACACTTTCCTTGTAACTCACACATATATCTGGCACCAGATCAGGACTTGCAACAAAAAATACTAAAAACAGTCAAAACTGTCTAAGACGGCCACCCATCCTCAAGGAGAAAAGTGGGCGTCTTAGACAAGTGGTCATTTTACACAGTGTCATTGTAAAGAACAAAAACATGCAAAGGAGGAAGTGGGAAATGGCCGTTTTAACATGCAATAGTCTTGTGCTACCGTGCCAAGGCAGACCGACGTATCTGCAAAAATTATTAATTTTGGCATATTCATTTAAATGGACGCCTATACCCATTCTTCATTTTGTCTTGTGTCAAAGGCAGGAAGACGTACCTGCACTACAAATAGGATATCTCACTATGGCAAATAGACGTTACTGAAGGGCAATGCCCATATTTCCAATGGCAGCGCGACGTAACTCAAAATCGTAAAAAGTGCAGCTATGTCGCTCTGCCTTGGTACAGGAGTATACAGGTGGCCATTAGAGCAGGTTCCACTGTTGTTTGCAGCTTTTTCCTGCTGGCAGTTACCTGATAGTTGGACAGACTGTGGACAGTCACGGCTGCCTGCATCCACTTGTTGCCTTGGGAACCGTCTCTCTGCCACACCACCGAACTCACTCGGCCAACAGTGCTGATGAGCATCAGGCGACCAACAGATGTCCCGTACATGTGGTACCTGCGGAAACAAGGAAACAAGAGGAAGTTTCCTATATACTTATCTCATCTTGTTGATCTCATGTTTTTTTAAGCACAATGTCCATTCTGTTGAAGCAAACATCATATCATCATGGTCTTACATCATATCATCATGGTCTTAATAGGTCGACAATAGTACAAGTCATTTTTTTTTTACATTTTTGATGTGGAGAAAAAGCAGTGCCAACTTACATCTACATTATTACTTGATAAGCAAAAGTAAAAATATCTCAATATTGGATTTTTAGAACATGAAATAAATCCTGTGTACTGATAGTGAACTCACCAGAAGGAGAAGCAGCTGACACCAGTTGTTGGGGGCAACAAAGGTGACTTCAGGATTGCAGCGTCATGGACTTGTATTCCCGATGCCTCCAGATAGATGTAATAGCCACCTGAAATAGCCAAAACCAACAGTTTATTTTAGGCTCTCGGACTCGCAACCGTAAGGTCGTGGGTTCGAATCCCGTCAGGGACCCGATGTTGTGTCCTTGGGAAAGGCACTTTACACGAATTTTCCTCACTTCACCCAGGTGGGAATGGGTACCCTGCTATAGACAGCGAAAGATCTTGTCAGTTTGTTAGTGTTTGAGCGCTTAATCAGCTGCTTGCACTGTATGCTTCCCGGGAAGCTGAGAATGTTTCGGAGTGTTCTTATGGTCTGCTGGGGTAATAATATAGTTTAAAGCGCATAGAGTCTGCTGTTGAGCGGGGATATGCGCTATACAAATGCTATCTATTATTATTATTATTATTCTTTTAGTTTAGTACAACATTTTACACTCTGATCATCAAAAATAGGTGTAATAAGCCTCTAGAAACAGTTAAGACCAACATTTTATTCATTTGGTTTTGTACAAGTTTTATGCTCTGGTAGTAAAAATAGTTGTAATAGCCTTCTGAACCAGCTAAGACCAGCAGTTTATTCTTTTATTTCTGTAAAATTTTTACACTCAGGTCATCTAAAATAATGTAATAAGCCTCTTGAAACAGCTAAGACCAACATTTCGTTCATTTGGCATAGTCCAAGTTTTGCGCTCTTATAGTAAAAATATAGATGAATCAGCCTCCTGAAATAGCCCAAACCTGCAGGTTTTTTTGGTTTTTTTAAACTTTTGTACAAGTTTTACGTTCTCTTAGACAAAAATATATATCATCCTCATCATCACTGCCTTTCTCACCATGCATAAGGGTATACGCCACAAACACTTTCCATCTTTCCCTATCCCAGCCTAGCCTCTGATAGTATTTCAAGTCTACCCACCTTTCTGTACATCCCATCAATCTTTGTGACTTATACCCCATAGTGTCATGAATTTTTCAGGTGGTAGAAAGCAAAATAATTATAAAACTGAAATTTTGTTATTTTTCCCATTGTAATCTTCAACTTATGTCTCTTAGAGCAAGCATGTCAATGACAGGATGAGCATGACTATCTCCTGGCTAAAATGTCCACTGACCCTGTCCTGTGTGGTCTTGTCTGGGTCCGGTGCCAGTGGAAGCTGTGGCCACAGAGGTCAGCTGCCACTGGACATCGCTGTAGACAGACTGTGTCCAGTCACAAGTACTGTTCTGGTCAAAAGTGCAGCTGGCCTGACCTTGGGCTGAGAGGGTGAAGGGCAAACTATTATAAAACACAGAAAGACAGAGATTGCCAAAAACAATCCCAAAGACTATAATGAAGAATGCAACAAAAAATGCAACAAAAAATGCTTAAAATAATGACAAAGAAATCCCCCAAAACAATCTCAAAGACAATAATGAGGACAATGAAAAAAAATGCTAAAAAGAATTACAAAGATATTGATCAAACTAATGACAAAGACAATGACAGAAACAATTACAAATAAAATGTTACAAACAGGAAGAACCTGACCAAATTGCAGAAGAGCGACGAATACCGCTGGTACATATAAACTCTCTTGTCCCACCCCCTCTCTCTTTGCCTGTCCGTCTGTCTGTCTGTCTGTCTGTCTGTCTGTCTGTCTGTCTGTCTGTCTGTCTGTCTGTCTGTCTGTCTGTCTGTCTGTCTATCTGTCTGTCTGTCTGTCTGTCTGTCTGTCTGTCTGTCTGTCTGTCGGTCTGTTTCTCTCTCTCTCTCTCTCTCTCTCTCTCTCTCTCTCTCTCTCTCTCTCTCTCTCTCTCTCTCTCTCTCTCTCTCTGTTTACTCCCTCTCTCTTTTTACTCTCTCTCTCTCTGTAACTATTTTTCTCTGTCACTCTATCTCTCCATCTCTTCCAGCAAAACACTTATGCCCCAATATGACTACGCACTAAGTCAGAAGTAATAATAGAAAACAGAGAGTGGGGAGACTACCATCAATTATTGGCTGAGCGTTGTCTGGCTTGGTCCTACAGCTCATGGCTGAGATGCTGGTGTCGTCAATGGCAATGTCACCACGGTAACCACTCCCTTCTACGCCTTCCAAGATCACCTGGTGGTGCAGGGAAAAGAATGTTGCTCAGTCAAAATGAGTCACATGTCACATTTGGACAATAATAATAACAATAATAATAATAATAATAATAATAATAATAATAATAATAATAATAATAATAATAATAATAATAATAATAATAATAATAATAATAAATTACATTTATATGCGCTCAATCCCAATTAAAGTACACAGGCTCTGAGCGCTTTACAATACACTATGTACACTATGTTCCTAAACTCATACAAGTAGTAAGCTTATTCCCTGCTTTGTCCTTTCTAACATTAATTTTCTGTTATGAGCATATCAAGAAATAATTGAATGTCTTCTTCAGATGGAAACAGTTTCCCCACTCGTCATAAACAGGGCAGACACAAGTTCACACACAGCAAGTTCAATTTGAAACATGAATACTTTAGCAATTTTGACATAAAAGAGATATATGTTTCAAGCTATAAGCAAGTATTACTCTCCAAAATTTTTGGGAAAGAAAAAAGATTTGATACAACATGAGGATGCAGTAGAGTACAGGAGAGCAGATATTTATGGAAAATGGGGACAATAAGAAAAAAACTACAATGCATCATCTAGTCAGTAGATGTGTCATCTACTACAAGTTGAATGAAAGATCTGTTTAAGCTATACAAGAGCACGGGAATAATTTCAGTCCAGCTCTTGCTGCTTTGGTTCAAGTTATAGTCACTTGGAGCTGAGGAGTCAGAAATTCACAGGTTTAAGAAAATCTAGGTTACATTTTACGGGGACAATTTCCCGCTCATTACAAATTGAGCTCACACAGGCTCACACACAGAAAAATGTAGGGGGTTAGTGGGTGTTCTAATGAGGTTTGCTCCTTCCATCCTGTCAAAATTTATCATATTATCTCTCCTCTTCCCTTTTTTTAATATTACTCTCCAGTAATCTCAATAATCTTCGGCTCTTATTTGACCTAAATGTGTTGCAAGTACCTTAAAATTCTTACTAAGGTTTTCAAAAACACACAGAATTAACACACACAGAGACACACACAAAAATACACACACAGGCACACACATAGAAACATACAGAGAGACACAGAGAGCTACACAACAGAAACACACAGAAACACACACAGAAACACACAGAAACACACAGAGAAACAAACAGAAAGACAAACACAAAAAGACACACCAGGATACACAGAAACGTACCGACGCAAATGCCCCATGACACACACAATGACACACACAATGACACACACAATGACACACACAACGACGCTCACCACAAAAGGTTTCTTGGTGTACGTCCGGCTGATGTTGACTTGAGCCGGCATCCATTGATCCCCGGAGGCTCCCTGTAGCTCCCACACTGTTGCGTCGGACGCTATCACGTCGTAGCTAGCGTTGTTCATCACGATCACTCTGAGAGTGCCGATGTCTGCGCCATACATGTGGTACCAGAACCACAGACAATAGTCCTGGTCTTGTACCGGAGGGAACACCTGAGGGCACACAACTCTGACATTATGCTGATTTTCTTTTCTTTTTTTCTTTTTTTCTTCTTTTTTTTCATACGTGTATGATTTTTAGTGAGGGGCCAAATGATTTATAAATGCATATGACATGATAGAGAGAGAGAGATGGAGAGGGAGAGACAGAGACAGAGACAGAGAGAGAGAGAGAGCAAGAGAGAAAAAGAATGATAAGGCAAAAGAGATATAGCAGGAGAGAAACAGAACAATAGAGAGAAAAAGAGAGAGAGAGAGAGAAAGAGAGAGAGAAAGAGAAAGAGAGAGAGAGAGAAAGAGAAAGAGAGAGAGAGAGAGAGAGAGAGAGAGAGAGAGAGAGAGAGAGAGAGAGCATGAGACGAAAAGAATGATAGAGCAAGAGAGGGCGAGATAGCAGGAGAAAAACAGAACAAAAGAGAGAAAGAGAGTGAGAGAGAGAGAAAGAGAGTGAGAGAGAGAGAGAGTGAGAGAAAAACAGCAAGAGAGAAAGATTGCAATATAGTATGAGAGATACAGACAGACAAACAGCCAGACAGAAAGGCAAAAACATACAGACTGTAAGAGGGAAAAAAACAATAGAGCAAGAGAGAGAGAGAGGGAGAGAGAAAGAGACAGTAACAGAGAGACAAAGAGACAGAGAGAGAGAGAGAGATAAATCAAAAGAGAGGTAGATGGAGAACTTCACACACCTGGCTGATGAGCCTTGCACGCTGTCCTTTCAACTTCTGAGAGCTCTCGATGTACATATATGAGCCAGATCCAGCGGCCGAGGTGTGGTCAGTGCTGGGTCCAGTTTGGTATGAGGCGGTGGAGCCATGACCTCGTATCCAATCAAAGTCGTCAGAGCCGTCCTTGACATTCTGCCACAAGCATGTGTCCTTGGTGAAGCTACACAGCTCTAGGGGTACACACAGAGGATGATAATAAGAATAAGACTAAGAAAGATATAAAAAATAACAAAGATAATAATACAAATAGGAGGAGGAGGAGGAGGAGGAGGAGGAGGAGGAGGAGGAGGAGGAGGAGGAGGAGGAGGAGGAGGAGGAGGAGGAGGAGGAGAACAAGAACAAGAACAAGAACAAGAACCAGAACAAGAACAAGAACAAGAACCAGAACAAGAACAAGAACAAGAACCAGAACAAGAACAAGAACAAGAAGAGCCTGTAAGAGAGAATGACCTGAGAATGTCACAAAAAGAGGTCACTATGAGATTTTAAAAATAGCTGGGTGTTTTGGTTTTTGTTTGTTTGATCAGATTAATACAGCTGTGACAAAAAAGCAAGAACTCTTCCAAGTATCAACAAGCCCAGAAAGAGAGCAAGGCAAGCAAAAGTCACATTCATTTATCCACAGAATGCCAACATACTTGTATTGGGACACGATCCTGGCCTAACCCTGATGTCATCCACTCCAATGTCGCTTCGGATGCCTGTACCTATGATGCCTTCAAAGATGAGCTGAAAAAATACATTTAAAAAAAATAATTTTAATCAATATAATATTGCCCACTGCTGCACAGAAAGGAGCAAACTTTGATTGTTAGTTTTTGAATACAATAAAGTCGAGAATACAAAAACGTTTCAAACACTTACACAATGATATGAAAAGTCTCGAAATAAACATTTTAGAAGCAATAACAAATAGAAAGAGGGAAAGAGGTAGAACATCCAGCTGGACTGATGGTGTCTTGGGCGGGAAGGTAAAGCTGAGGTGAATGCTGGCATCCAATTTTGTGTTCAAAAGCCAATTTTGTTGTGTGCATAATCTTTCTAGGATCGCGCGTTTTTCTTTTGAGATATCCAGGGCATTTGCAACATCTTTCTGTAGCATTCCAGCTCAAAGGCACTGATTCATTTTCTGACTGATTTTCTGATTGTTCACCCTCCACGTATAAAAGCAAGGGGAATGTAGAAAATGCTAGTTCTAGGCCTATACCTTGGTCAGGGGTGAGAATAAAGGCATTGATGATGACAATGATGATGATGATGATGATTTTTTGTATGTTCCTGATGAAGCCCGTGATCGAGCGAAACGATGAACCTTTATAAAATTTTCTTGGAAATTCTACAAGTCTCAACCCTTTTTTTATCCCTTGCTGTTTACAATTATGATGATGATGATGATGATAATGATGATGATGATGATGATGATGATGATGATGATGATGATGATGATGATGATATGTCCATAGCGCTAAACATAATAAATAATTCTACAAGACAGTTGTCTAGGGGACGCACCTGATAGTTGCCCTGCAGGTCAAGGTTCACCTCGCCCTTCTTCCATCCTGCGCCCACATCATATGAAATAGACCACTTGGGTGAGCCAGGGTTACTGGTCATGGTGGCAGGGACTTGGTACACATTGAGCGTGCCGATGTCTGAGCCGTACATGTGGTAGTAGAAGATCAGGCAGTGCTGGGTCGCCTGGCTGCTTGTGTACACGGGGCTGGGAACAGAAGGTGGGGTGGGGTCGGGTGAGGTGAGGTTAAGGGAATTGAGGTGAAGTTCAGTGAGGTAAGATGAGGTGGGTGGGGTCGGGTGAGGTGAGGTTAAGTGAATTGAGGTGAGGTGAGGTGAGGTGAGGTGAGGTGAGGTGAGGTGAGGTGAGGTGAGGTGAGGTGAGGTGAGGTGAGGTGGGGTGGGGTGGGATTGGGTAAGGTGAGGTGAGGTGAGGTTAAGTGAGGTAAGGCAAGGTAAGGTAAAGTAAGATAAGGTAACTCTTTATTGTCCACACACACACACACACACACACACACACACACACACACACACACACACACACACACACAAACACTTACACACACACACACACACACACACACACACACAAACACACACAAAATGCAGTTTCCATGACTAAAATTATTTATATAAATACAGAATGCATATACTTTTAAAAAATCAATTCTAGAGAGACATTTTTCACTTTTCAAGAAGTCATAAAGTTGGCTTAACTCGTTCAATACCTCGCGCCAGTTTATCTGCATTTGGTGCTCATTGCATCTAGCTTCAACAATAAATCAAAGTACGAAAAGAGCTAAATAAACATTGGTTTTTTATTAAGTCTTCTCCGGAACAAAAACATTACTTCTGTAATTTTATTATGTCCTTTACGATATAGTGAGTTTTCTAAGAAGAACACAGACAAAGTTACCTGATGATTCGGGCTGTGTCGTTCTGTTTACGTGAAGATCCCTCAGTGTAGATGTAGTGCCCACTGAAGGAGCCATAGGTGTGGTCAGTGTAAGGTCCAGTCTGCCGTGTGCCTGTAGAACCACTATGTACCTGCCACTGGAAGTCGGCATTTGGGTCGTTCTGGTAACCACACAACTGTTGGCTGGGGTCTCGCTTCTCGAATGTGCACAATACCAGGCCAGCTAAGAGGGGAGACAATTTTTTCACATCACTGCAGTGAAAACACTGAATGAATGAATGAATGAATGAATTCTTTTATACTGTTTCCCTTGGGAAATTTGTTTTACAATAGCGTACATAAGTACACAAGTACATTGTAAATAAATACATAAATTAATAAATATGTACATGAATACATGAATAATACACAACATCAAAAGTATAAATAATGCACACACTACTGTTGTTGCCACTGTGCAGCACCCTGTTTTTCAGCTAGGGCTATCATGCCTTGCTCAAATACACACCCCAGTGACCTCCCATCTAAGTATATTTTAACTTTTGAACTTCAATTTTTTCTGTAGGTGCTCAAACCAGGAAAGAGAAACTTTTTCTTTTTAGATTCATCCTTTACACTCATATTATAGTAAGACTGAATCATTTATATACACACAACAAGGTGAATGGCTTTGAGCTTCACTTGACTGTGATCTGTCCAATTGCTCCCCCTAAAAGAGGCAAAGTGTATCTGACTAGGCCTACAGTTAAACTTGCTCTAATGACAACCTGTCTGTGAAAATTACTTGTTCAAACATCACTTCCCACTTCTTCTACCCTTGCCTTTACAGAAATATTATAATGACACTGTGCAAGATGCCCACCTCACTAAATAACCACTTTTCTTCTCAACAATGAATGACTGTCTTGGGCAATTTTTACTGTATTTCCAAACTAAAAAACCCAGCCATGTTGATCAAAAAATCTCTTCCTTTGACCCTAGCAGATGCTGCAAATTCTGTCAGTTCATCTCGAGTCCTGTTTTACTATCGTATCCATACGACGTGGGGAACTCTGTGCCACCACTTTCCAAAGAGGAAAAGTACTCGTTAATCCGATCCGATCCGTACGCTTTGCATAGCAGTCTGTCAAAATGATTTTTTTGAGAAATGCTGAACGTCTCAAAGAGATCTTCATACTGGAAGTATTTTAAAATGTGAAGAACACAACCCCAGGGGTACAAAATAACCCCAAGGCGTACAGATAGGGTTAAGTAATTAATGAACGAACCTTCAGGATTGAGTTCAGAGCAGGGGCCAGTCGGGACTGTGATGTCGTCCACCGCTATGTCTCCGGAGTAGCTTTTGCCCCTCACGGCCTCTAAGACAAGCTGATGGAAAGCAACAAGTGCTATCAATTGCCTTTAAAATCAATCAGAGAAGCAAATCAATGTTGTTATTCCCTAATCATGCTATGCAACTGATTTCTTAAAAATTGTTCATCTACCTATCTAAAAAACCTTTCTTATTGAAATGATAAAAGAAAACCCTTAAGTCTGTCAGCAGTGCATGGACATTTTTACTGTTTTACAATTAATAATGCATATCGACTCCTGGTTTTTATTGAATACCCACAGATCAACCTCAGCATAGGTTTTAGAAAAAAAAGAGGTGACCTATTTCTTCCCTTTACACCATTCGCCATGCATTTCTCCACTCCAATGCTCTCCAAAAAAAAAACTATTATCCTGTTCTTTCAATGTCATCCATCTGTTGATATTTTCCAAGTAAGTTGCTTTGGGTTTACTCCTGCCTCATTTACCTTTCATTTTTCCAGTGAGAGAAATGTTCAAGGCCTTTATGTCAATTCAAACATCTCAGGAACTCCATTTGTCTCTTTCTAATTATTTTTTATAAGGGAGCAACATACGTAGGCTTTTTTTCAGTACCACCGATACCTCATTTGATGATTTCTTTTCCTTCCTTCAAATTCTGAACAGGCTCCCCCAAAAAACACATTTCGTTTTCACTTTCTTGGAAATTGTCAAACATTCATGGCCTTTTAGAACTTTAATTTTGGCAGTTATTGAGACTGTTCTTTTTTCAGTATCAGACTCATTTTATACAAACTGTCTTCAGCAATTACATTTCTAGAGGAGATGCACACCTGATAATTCTGAGTGCGGTTCACGGGTATGGAGGCACTGAGCCAACTCTGAGCGATGTCTCCCTGCCTGCTGAAGATCTGAGTCATGGTGCTGCCCTCTTTCACGTACGCGTTGAGCTGGTACACACTCTGGCCGTACATGTAGTAGAAAAAACGGAAACAGCGGATGCCTGGGCCGATGCTGGGGCTGAGCAGACGTGTGGTGTCGTTTGCCTTTCTTGGGGAAGACGCTTCCATGAAGATGTACCAGCCTTTGTCTGGGGGGGAATCCGAATAAGTGAGTATCAGAATACTATCAAATTACTAGCAGAATTCTAATGAATTACTATCAGAATACAATTAACCCTATCCGTACGTCATGTTTTACTGTCGTATCCATACGACATGGGGAACTCTGTGTCACCACTTTCAAAGAGGAAATTTACTTGTTAATCCAATCCGTACGCTTTGCATAGCAGTCTGTCAAAATGCTTTTTTGAGAAATATTGAAACTTTCAGAGAGATCTTTGTACTAGAAGTATTCTAAAAATGTGAAGAATACAACCCAGGGGGTACAAAATGACCCCAGGGCGTACGGATAGGGTTAAATTACTATAAGAATATTATCAAATTACTATCAAAATACTGGTTATGTATCTGGCTAGACCATCAATGATTTATTTATAGAGGCACCAGCCATCCATGTCCAGGTGCTGCTTTAGCCTCTTGTTATGTATCTGGCTTATACAATATTACTGTCACCAATAATTGTTTACTTACATCATATGTGTATGTCTAGCTGTGGGTCTGTTTGTGAGTGTAATCATATTATATTATGTGTATGTGTGTGAGGAAGGGAGGATACGTGAGAGAGTATGTGTGTGTGGGTGAGCACACACGTTTGTGTCTGGACAATAAAGATTTATCTTATTTTATCTTACATGGATTTTTAGGTGTGTAAGGTATTTGGGGCATCCCAGCTTAATGATAGAGGAATCAAGCTCTCACCAAAAAGACTGTATTTCTAATTTTCTTCTTCTTTTTCTTCTTCTTCTTCTTCTTCTTCTTCTTCTTCTTCTTCTTCTTCTTCTTCTTCTATTCTATTTTTTCTTTAAGGCCACATCTGAAATAGACATCGGTAATCATATTTCACCATTTCTTTCCCTGCTTTGAAGATTTTTCTTCATTAACCTGCTGATCTATTATTTTTAAACTTTATTTGATGTTGACCAGTACTTGATTTCACGCATGTTGATCCCATTCTAGCACATTTCACTCTGCATTTTACACACAACAAAAAACTTTAAAAAATGGGCTGATTTTCAGAGTTAAAGTATAACCCCCGTATTATATACGAGGTTGTGTTATAGGTGAGTACAGTCGAACCGGTGTAAGACGGCCACCCATTGTCAAAGAGAAAAGTGGCCGTATTAGACAGATGGCCGTCTTAGGCAGGTCTGATCAAAATGAAGAAAATAAACCATTCCCTTTTTAGGTCCAAACCGAAGGTAGCCACATTGTTGTTGTTGTTATTGTTGTTGTTGTTGTTTTTGCTGGTGGGGGGGGTTCTTTATTTTTCTTTTGTTACTTCTTTCGTGAAAGGGTGACAATAAAACGAAATAGGTCTGACATGGAGGAGCGAGTGCGACGGAAAAACAAACACATGGGTAACCACCACTAGGAGAACGAGCGACGCGTCAGTCACAAGCTCATGTTGACGTCCATTGTTACTTTGTTACAGACTGGGTAAACAGTGACCACTCATCTCACTTACGATTTGTGTATTAGTTCTGGGCGGGGCTTATGGCTTTTGAGGGATCACATGCTTACCTCACCAGCAACTGAAAATTTGTTACCTGTTGGTCAACAGTGGGAGGGGCCTACGCAACATGATCGGTTGGAGGGACTACCTAACAACAATGACAGGTGACTGGATTATGACGGCTCGCCCACAACGCCAGGGGCCAATGCACAATTTATGACAAAACATACTGGAGTCACTAAGATGGCCGTCTAAGACAGGTGTTATTGCTTAGTGCGATAGGAGTTGTGTGTTAAAAATATGATGGCCGCAGCCACGTAGAACAGGTGCCCGTTTTACACAGTTAAATTATATAGAAAAAAGGCAAGTGGGGAAATGGAAAGTGGCCGTTTGTACAGGTGGCCGTCTTATAGAGGTGGCCGTCGGGGCAGGTTCGACTGTATATTATGCAGTACTTAAACTGAAATAGTTTGACAAAAACTCCATGAAGTTCACCTGTCCCCAGTGTGTGATCAGCAATAGGGCCAGTCTGCAGAGTTCCGGTAGGACCCTGAAGGCGCGTCCAGTTGAACTGGTCATTGAAGTCCTGAGCCCAGCTACAGAAACCGCTCTCGAAGTTGCAGTCATATGGTGTAGGAACTGAAAACATCACACAATTTTCATCATCAAATGGATTACTTTTCTTAACTTCTCTCCCTCCCTTTCTATAACCCTCTTCCTATTTTTTTCCCTTATACCCCTCTCATTTTTTTTCTGTCTGTTCTTTATTTTGTCCTAGTTTTCTCAGAATATCAACTACTCTCTCTCTCTCTCTCTCTGTCTCTCTCTCTCTCTCTCTCTCTCTCTCTCTCTCTTTCTCTTTCTCTCCCTCTCTCTCTCTTTC